TAATGTAAATTAATTGGAAATTTTTCCACGTAGATGAAGATGGATAAGAAATTTGAGGCTTGAGTAATGTGGATTAATTTCGACGCCTGGATCTGAAACTATTTCTAGTATATGTTCTGTATATGTTTGGTATATGTTCGGTATACATATATAAACCCAGAAAATTGGAGTTATTTTCCGTATATGTTCTGTATATGTTCGATATACATATATGGGGAGAGTCCAATCGAAACGGGTTACGGAGGCCGAAACGGGTTCGTCAAAGGTCTCGTCTATGGGGAGAGTCCGATCGATGAGCGGCCGACGTCGCGCGAATCCACTAGGGATAGAGGGAAAGACAGCAGAGAAATTCTTTTCTCTATTACACAATCTAGCATCTATATAATTTTTTCTCTCTCTTCTGTTACGAAGGATTGTGGAAAGACGGGCGGAGAAATTCTTTTATCCAAAGGGTTGTGGAAAATCTTTTCTCTCTCTTCTATTGTGTTACACAGTCTTGCATCAATATAATTTTTTATGGTCAAGTAGGTATGTTTGCAAATAAGTTTTGTAGTTAGTATTTTTTCAAATATTTATGAAACACTAAGGTGAGTATGTAAATGAGCTTTAATGGAACGCCCAAAAAATCTGTTCTTAATTGTTTGGGCTTTTATGATGTCCAGAATGCAGGGCCCAGGCCCACACCCCATTAGTACATGATTTGGTGGTGTATTGACATTTCATGAATTTTCTCTTTGCTTAATTTTGGGTCGGCAGAAATATCCCAAGCAATAAATGCTAGTCCATTTAACCCAAACGTTGATTTTTGCTTGATAGTATTTTGTTTTAACAATATTTTCTTGTGAAACAGCATAATCGATAGACGGATATACATCTAAGATCTAACCGTTAGATTTGTCCAACAAACAACATATTTTATCTTCCTTTTTCCTTTTTTCTACTTTAGCTTTTTTGGTCTTACTTTCATTCATATTCATTAAGGGTGTGAAAATGCTGTCACAAAATAAAGCAATTTCATTTCTGATTTATTTACCAATTTAATTAGTTATCATGAATGTCAAACATCTACCAATCTTGTACAGGTATAGTTTGTGCAATAATATTTATTTTCTCTAAAAAATCATATCTTCAGACACAGTAAATAAAATGACTCCATTGATCATAGGACAAAGACCAGTCAGTGCTGATTTTGTCTTCAATTTACTGTCAAATATAATGGTCTCTACTCTATCATACATTTAGTAAGTAATTATACTACTTTTTCCTCATGATAGCTTTTCATGGACAAAAATAGGAATAAAAAAAAGTAAAGATAATTTCAATTTCATGATAGTCACAATTGAGTGATTGAATAAAGCCAAGTGCACCATCTTCAAGGGTTTTTTCTGTTTCCTGACAAAGCAAACTGCAAACCTAACTCTGCAATTAAATATTTCTATTTCTCTTTTTACCAACATACATGTTGGATACAAATAGACAAGTTTTTTATTGGTTTTTTATTTAATTATGGTTAATTTTGAAAAAGTTGGTTTGATTAATTGGGATGTTAAAATAATACTTAAAAATTAAATGATTAAAATTGATTTGATGTAAAAATAAAAGATAAATGATTGAAATTGATAGTTAGTTAAAATTATGTAAGTGAGTGAATAATGAATTAAAATTGATGTGATGTGTAAGTACGGTTGATTGATATTATTGAATTATATCAATAATATTGAAGATAATGTGAGTTGACTTAAAATTGAGTTAAATTGGAGTATGAATTGAGTTTGAGTATGAGTATGAGTTCTTTAATAGTCAAACACTCTTATTAATTGAAGTGTCATAATTTTAAAAATATATAAAATTGAAATGTTTTTATGGAATAAATATGTATTTAAAAAAAAATGATTAGCCGACTTATGACATCCTAGCAAAAACATATACCTTAACAAATGAATTTTGTGAATTATAACCAAGTCTTATAAAAATCTAGGCAAATATATTTAGTATTTTTTTTTTCTTAGTCATAATAAACCCATTTTGGAACTTGACTTGTTAATGTAATTATTAGTGTCCTCAAATGAGTAAAATGACAACTATAGAGATATTTCACGTTTTGATGAAATCGAAACTTGAGGTAAAAATTCGTAGATGTTGACCATTACATATATAGAGTAAAAATGTGGGAAATTGTATTGAGTATGAAATGAAGGCACCCATAGTACCTAAAAACGTGTTTCATGTTACTTATATCCCCCGCCATAAAGCTACTTGGGGACTGTAAAAAATTAAAATGATTTTGCATAAAATTAAAAGGAAAGAGAAAAGGNACTTAAAAAAAAAAAAGAAAAAAGAAAAAAGAAAAAAGAAAAAGAGGATTGTTATTTGATGCCTAAAACTACTAATTTTTGCCCCCATAAAAAAATTTACCCCATTATTACTACTACACTTTCATCTTCTTCACCCACTTTTTTAATCTGTTACCTCATTCCACATTTTCTTCACTAATCTCTTTCCTCTTCGTAAAAAAATGAACTCACCAATCTCTATATTACTTTTTATTAGTCCACATGTTTAGTAATCCAACATCATCGGAAACACTTGCAAATGAAGTAAATAATGTGTTAATCCCCAATTTTTTTTACACTGATTTTCACAAAAGGATTTCTTGATTTTTGAGTGTTTGAATAACGTCTGTTACAGGATGAATTCGAAGATTTTTACGGATTATTTTGAAAACGAACAAATACATGAGAGTTATAGTGAAGCTTTGCATTATTGCTACTTTCTTGCCATATACTCAGGGTATGAGCTGAAAATAACTTCAAATCATTTCTCCACTAGTGTGAGGCTTAGATATAATCGGGCCAACAGAAAGAAATCGGAAGATGGAGGGACTACAAAGCCAAGAAAGAGAAAAAACACAAAGACCATTGTTTGTGGTTGTGAGTTCACGGTTATGATAAAAAGCTTGACTCCAAGGTCGGAGTTCCATAGCTGGATTATGAAATGTGAAGAGGGTAGACACAATCATGATCCTACTGAATATGCAAAGGGACATCGGCAAATAAGCGGCCTTAGTGTTGGAGCAAAAAAAGCTTATTCGCTCGATGGTTCTTTCTTAAACAAAGCCGGAAAACATATTGTTGGTTGTTCAACAATAATTTCTGGAGGACAACTGTCACAACAGACAAATTTACAACTATAAGGCAAAGCTCCGGAGGGCCTCATTTGGGAAAAGTAGTATGATACAACAGTTCTACAAGTTGGCTAAGGACAACGAATATGATATTCAATTGCTTAGAGATCGTGATACAAAGAAGCTAACTCATGTGTTTTGGTCCATCCAGAGTCGAAAATGACACTTAGAGCATACCCTCAGGTCATTGGCATGGACTTCACGTACAAGACAAATAGGTATGAGATGCCCTTGTTCCAAATTTTTGGCATGACTCCTAGTAATAAATAATTTTTTATTGCATATGCAATTATGAAGGATGTGTCAGCTGATAGTTATTGATGGGTGTTGAAGAACTTATGGATTCTGATTGGGAAAGATGTTGAGCCCACAACCATTTTGACTGATAGGAGATGGGTTGATGGCTCCCATTAAGGAACAATTTCCTCAGACTCTCCACTTACTTTGTACTTTCCACATCAACAAGGATGTAGAGAATCAGGTGCACAAGAAATTAAATGGTAATAAAATTGTAAATAGTCGAGATTACGCTCTGTGTTTTAAAAGTGGCACATTGAGACTAGTATGGCAAGTCGACACCATGTAGAAGTACGGAAAGCCTTAGTAGACATTAGAGAAAAATTGTGTCCTCATCCACAAATTTTGCATTATCTTTAGTCCACATGGTTGGGTCCACACAAGGAGAAGTTTTTTCGCCTCTTAACAAACCAAGAACAACACTTTGGGAACACAAAAATTTGTATAGTGAAAACCGCGCACGCCGCCTTAAAAGAATGGCTTAACACATCCACTGGTTCATTTGACACTCTTTTTATTTCGGTACATAAAGAGATTGGGTCTACAAATACAAAAATTAGGTACATAATTACATTATAGTTATGGTTTGTAATATTTAAATATAAAAATTATGTGTTAAATGATTAGGACATAAAGAAATAAGTTGCAGTGATGAAGCTTTTGAATCAGACGTTCAAAAGCCCTTCAAGCATACAATTGGGACGTTTCTCGTTGTTGTAAGCTTCCGTGTTAGACGTTTCCATGCATTGTTGGGCTTTAGCCCTAGACGTTTTCTTGTAATGTCGAGCTTTAGCCGTAGACGTTTGCATGTAATGTCGGGCTTTAGCCTTAGAGGTTTGAATGCAATGTCAACATTAGACGTTTTCATGTAATCTCGAGCTTTAGCCTTAGACGTTTAGTTGTCTTTCAGTTGGACGTTCATTTTACTTGTCGATTACTTACGAACTAAATATAATATTTTCATTAACAGGTATGATCAAGAACAATTATTGTCTAAGAGTAATGTGGATCACACGGTGCCCCCATTCACATACTTAAGAAATCGCGCATCACTTCATTGTTTAAATTTTTCGGTTAAGTCATTGGAACTTATGACAAACAATTGGGGGAATGATACGCCCAATTTGTGCCACCATATGATACGAACGACTCATGGTATGCCATGCCCTTGTGGGATTTACCGAACACTCCAGAACAATATATTATTTGAACCGCACCACCTACATCAGTTTTGGACAACTTTGCGAATCAATTCAGAAGTTAATCTTCGTCAAGAAGAAGGGTCGATAGATTTGTAATATTTTGATAGTCTTGTTGTTGTTAGATTTGAAACATTTTGATAGTCTTGTTGTTGTTATCAGGTCCAAAGATGATGTATATATTCGAAGGGTAAATGCGTTGCTTGACCCTCATGTATACACGGATCAGAAAGAATATGGAGAACCGAATGTGAAGGAATCACATAGAGGTCGACCTACGAGCAGAGCCTCTACAAATCGTAACTTGTCTGCATGGGAGATCAGTTGTCTCGATAACACTCCAGGGGATCAAAGTTCATCACGTAGTTTCTCTCCTGGTCGTTGTTCCTCACGTGGTCGTAGTTCCTCATGTGGTCGTGGTTCCTCACGTGGGCGTGGTTCCTCACCTGAGCATGGTCGCAGGACAACGAAATCTCTAATCACTCAATATACAACTAATCTGATTATTTACTTTAAGCTTTATGTCTAGACGTTTGTTGGTATACGTAAGCTTTCATTTTGAAATTTATAAGTGGTGGTCAAGATGGAATTCTTTTTTGGGAGAATTGTCATTAGATTCCTCAGTATTTATTTTGCCACATGTCGAAGAGTATTTGGACGTTGGCGACGACAATTATGGTTTCCGTGTTATAGTTGATTGAGTTTTGTGTGATCAAAATGAATGGATGGATATAAGAACAAGTGATTGATGAATTACTTTCGTTCCCTACAGTGTAAGAAAAAGTGGGATTTAAGGACGTTACCAAAAAAATTACCCGCACAAGGCATGAAAGTAATAGTGGTTGTGGTCTCGATCATTGCATGATTGTGCTTGATGACTTGTTTCCCATTGCCACCATATTTAATGTGGCTATATTTTGTTTAATCTATAATGTTTGGGACTTGACGTGGGTAAATTTTGCTTGTACTGTGTTGCTGATGCGAAATAAAAAAGGAAAAGATGGTCCAGAGAGGGATATCACCATCCTCCGCATCTGAAATCATTTTGTTAAGTTACATCTAAGTTCATATTCTCCCGTACCATCACCAACTTTCCTTTGGACAGAGAACAATGATCCTAGCGTATAAGGTTTTGATTTATCATATCACGCTAGTATCATGTGGACTTAATAAAAAAGTGTTAATTTCTTTTATGTTTGTTCTAGCTTTTAAATAAATTATTCTTGCACTATATTATAAAAAAGTAATTTAATCCAGAAGAAACCAATTGTGTTTTGATATATACAAACTTCTGCTATAGACGTTCAAAAAGAGAGCAAATTTCTCTTTGGGACGTTCACAAGACACACAAACTTCGATAAAAACCGTTTCCCAAGGGCATAAGCTTTGGTCTAGGACGCTTGTTCCAGACATTTCTCAGGGGCAGAAACATTGGTCTAGCACGTTTGTCCCTAGATCAAGCTTTTGCCCAAACGTTCTTTTTTTTTTCTACACATGTCCAACTTATTCCATACCTGTCCAACATTACCAAAATCTAACCAACACATTTTTATTTCAACTAATCCAAACATTCACTTCAACAAACTAAAACATCCAACCATTCGTTATGATCAAATACCAACTACAAATCAATGGAAAATAAAATGTTGACATACAAATCCATCAATTCAATAACCGTGGCTAACACCTAAATTATGGAAAGTAGCCATGAGACCTTCAACTGTCTCCCTCACTGCTTCCGCCCTAACAAGATCTGCCTCCATAGCTATCTCAATGGCCTCATTTGTGGCATCCCGAAATTTGTTCACCCACTGCGATTAAGAGATATAAAATATATCTTTAATAATTCAAATGAAATAAAATAAATAAATAAATTACGAGAACCAAGCATGTAGTGGCGTTCGTCGTTTCAATGCTGCGACACTCCGATGGGAGGACGTATGGATGTGAGTACTTCTTATGCCAGTCCATGTACCCAGTATGGGTAGCTCCAACATCATTAGGTATGACTGGGGTATAAGGTAGAAAACTCAAGCAACCTAGGACCGGCAAGGCCTTCCATCCGTCTGACGCGGGTGTCAGTGAAAAATCCAGCTTGTAGTATGCTTACCCTGACTGCGAATGACCTTCACCGGGTGAAATCGTTTGAATCATCCCTAACTATCGTAAAACACATGCTGGCATATAAGGCTCACATATGTCACGGTACAGAAGCCCGCCGTAATAAAGTGTCCTAAGATAGGTAACATGCACATCCTCACCGTATGACATCTACACAACTTACAACCAAAAAACAAAAAAAGTTAATGATAACAAACAATAAATAATTAATAAGAAAGTTAACAAAATTTAAGAACTTTGTAAGTAATACTTACATCACTAGTCTTGAAATTATCAAGCTGACTCCGGTAGCCATTCCTAGTCTGCAGAAGAGTGAAGAAACCAGAAATACCTCCTACATCAATTCTGCTAGCCATTCCTAATTGTTGATACATGTGCACTAGAACAACAGAACCTTAGAATAATTAGACAGCGTGTCAATTCTCGTATGGATCTCATGCAACGGCCCATGCCTAATTTTATTTCCACTATTGCCTACAAACAAAGTGGAACCCAAAGCTAACCACAACCAACCCTCTACATATCTCTAGATATCAGTCCGGGGGTCCTCATTAACACATCAATAATAGTAAACCCCACCACCATAGTAAAAAGTATGCAAGTCAAGCTGTTCACCTTTATATATTATTTTATTTATATAATTAATATAAACAATAACTTTTTTATATAGTTTAATTTAAAAAAATATATAGCCACTTGCATATTATATCTTTTCAATCTAACCATAAATAAATTATTTAAATATTTTTAGAATATCTATAAAAATACATTGAAATAGTTATAAAATATTATATGATCTTTCTAAATATTTTAAAGGGTTGAAATAGTTATACAACAAAATATGTGTTTTTTCTATTATTTTATGTTTTATATTTTTTTTAAACAACCCGTGTAATACACGGGTGTCGTACTAGTACTAATATTATTGGTGTTTTTCTTGATGTGAATCATTTGTCCTCACAACTTTGTCCTTTGGTTAAAATGAGAATTTTATATTTTATGATGGGAAATATTAAATATTGATGTCCAAAATTGATTTAATCTTCGTATTTTGTATCACGAGTTTCAACTAAATTAATTTTGGTGCTCTAAGTTCATTTAGTAATCACATTTAGTATTTTTTTAATTGTTGATTGATGTTGAAACTGATGGCCATAAATTTTTCATAAGAAATGCACTTAAGAATGTGTCTTCCAAACAACCCAACAGAACTGATCAAATCTTTAATCTCTGAAAATCTATTGATGAAGTAATTTCTACATGTGAAATGCTACTTAAAACTTATTTGTTGGCCATTTTTATGTGATCTAAAGGTCAGATTGATGATTGAGATGTACAGTTGGATTCTTAAAAATTATTCTTTCTAATGAAACGTGCCAAATGCAATTAATTTTTGAAACTAATTAGGGTACTACATTAATTAAGANAAAAAAAAAAAAAAGCATTTGTAACATTGTGAGGTTACAGGACTAATGTTATTACACTTATATAAGCTAATACCTCTGTACGAGTAAGGTCCTAAGCTCACCATCAATAAAAATCCTCAATATACGCTCAATATTATGCATCATTATGGTCATTTCACTAAATGGAAGATGAAATGAGTTATTGTCAAATTGTCAGCGATCAATAAAAGCATTGATCAAGGAAAAATTAATGGTATCATGCATGCAAGCAGGGAGGTGCAACAAGCCTGTGCGGACAACCTCATTCCTCACATCATCATTATCCTTCACCCAACCAATTCAATGTCAACGTCCGTGTATGCATCTTCAACGTCTTTTTTCATGTAAGTCCAAACCTGATATGCAACATGGCTGCAGAAACTCGTGATGACTGTCCCACCAATAGGGTCATCGGGCATTGGTGTAAAAGAACCAGTGATGGAACAGTCATCACGAGTTTTTTTTACGCTATGTTGCATATCAGGTTTGGACTACAAGAAAAAGGACGTTGAAGATGCATACACGGATGTTGGCATTGAATTGGTTGGCTGAATGGGTGAAAAATAATGATGATGTGAGGAATGAGGTTGTCTGCAAAGGCTTATCGCACCTACCTGCTTGCATGCATGATACCACTGATGTTTCCCTGATCAATGTCTTTATTGAGCGCTGACAACCTGACATTAACACATTTCACCTTCCATTTGGTGAAATGACCATAATTTTGCATGATGTTGAGCGTATCTTGAGGATTCTTATTGATGGTGAGTCGATAAGTAAGGACCTTATTCCTGCAGAGGTGCATGAGTTGGTCACAAAAATTTACAAGGTGAACAAGCTTGACTAGCGTACTTATTACCGGGGTGGTGGGGTTATTAATGTCTCTATTGTGGATACGTTAATGGGGACTGCAGGATTGATATCCAGTGACAGATAGAGGGTAGGTTGTGGCTGGCATTGTGTTCCACTTTGTTTGTAGACAAGAGTGAAAATAGAATTAGGCATGGGTCGTTGAATGAGATCCAAAAGAGAATTGGCACGTCTAATTATTCTTGGGGTTCTGCTGTTCTAGCGTACATGTATCGGCAGATAAGAATGGCTAGCAGAATTGATGCAGAAGGTATTTCTTGTTTTCTCACTCTTCTGCAGACTTGGATCTATGAGTATTTTCCTACCTTTCGACCCCAAATATTCCCACACGTTATAAAGGAGGAGCAAGCCCGTACATGTAGATGGAAAGTGAACTCAAAAGCAAGCAAAGTTTCATCTGTCACACTGGATGGCTACCGGAGTCCGCTTGACATTATCAAGGCTAGTGATGCAAGTATTAATTACAAAGTTATTAAATATTATTAACTTGTTTAATAATTATTTATTGTTTGTTATCACTAATTTTTTTTTTCTTTTTTTGTTATTGTTGGTTGTAAGTTATGTGGATCATACAATGATGATGTAAAAATTACCTGTCTTAGGACATTTTATTACGTCTTGTTTCAGTACCGTGAGATATGTTAGCCTTATATGCTAACACGTGTTTTACGATAGCTAGGGATGGTTCGAACGATTCCACCCATGATCCTCCACCCGGTAAAGGTCACTCGCAATCAAGGTAAGCATAGTACAAGCTGGATTTTCCACTGACATCCGCGTCAGACGGATGAAAGCCCTTCCCGATCCTGGGTTGCTTGAGTCTTCTACCTTTTGTCCTAGCCACACCTGATGATGTTGGAGCTACACGTACTGGGTACATGGATTGGTAAGTACTCACATCCATTTATCCTTCCATCGGAGTGTCGAAACATTGAAACAACGAAGACCACTACATTTTGGTTCTCGTTTCTGTAAGTTTGTTTATTATTATTATTATTATTATTATTTGTTTTAGTAGATTGTGAAGTTCGTTTGAACTGTTAAAGATGTTTTGCTATATCTCTTAATCGCAATGGGTGAACAGATTTCAGGACGCCACAAATCAGGCCATTGAGATAGCTATGGAGGCAGATCCTATTAGGGCGGAAGTAGTGAGGGAGACAGTTGAAGGTCTAATGGCTACTTTCCATACATTTAGGCGTTAGCCATAGATATTGAATTGTTGGATCTTTATTTGGACGTTTTTCTTTTCATTGATTTGTAGTTGGTATTCGATGATATTGAATTGTTGGATCTTTATTTGAACGTTTTTCTTTTCATTGATTTGTAGTTGGTATTCGATGATATTGAATGGTTGGATGCTTTGATTTGTTGAAATGGATGTTTGGATTAGTTGAAATAAAAATGTATTGGTTGAGTGGTTGGTTAGTTTTAGATAAAGTTGGACATATATGGAATAAGTTAGACATGTGTGGAAAAAAAAAAAAAATAAAATAACAGTTTGGGACAAAAGCTTGATCTAGGGACAAACATCCTAGACCAAAGCTTCTGGCCCTCAACGTCTGGGGCAAAATTTTGATCTAAGGGTATGCTCTAAGTGTCTTTTTCGATTCTAGATGAACCAAAAACACATGAATTAGTTGCTTTGTATCATGATCTCTAAGTGATTGAATATCATATTTGTTGTCCTTAGCCAACTTGTAGAACTGTTGTATTATACTCATTTTCCCAATTGAGGCCCTCCGGAGCTTTCCATTGTAGATGTAAATTTTTCTTCTCTGACAGTCCTTCGGAAATGATTTTTAACAGCCAACAATATGTTTTGTAATTTTGTTTGAGAAAGAACCATCGACTGAATAAGTTTTTTTGCACCAACACTAAGACCGTTCATTTGTCGATGTCCCTCTACATATTCAGCAGGCTCATGATTGTGTCTACCCTCTTCAAATTTCATAAATCAACTCGGAAATCCAACCTTGGAGTCAAGTTTTTACATATTACTGTGAATTCACAACTACAAAAATTGGTTTTTGTGTTCTCTCTTTCTTGGCTTTGGATTCCCTCCATCTTCTGATTTTTTTCTGTTGGCCCGATTACGTCTAAGCCTCACACTGGTGGGTAAATGATTTGAAATATTTTCAGCTCATACCCTGATTATATGTCAAGAAAGTAACAATAATGCAAAGTTTCACTATAACTCCCATGTATTTGCCCGTCTTCAAAATAATTCGTAAAATCTTTAAATTATCATGTAAACATACAGTATTTGCAAGACGTTACTCAAGCACTCAAAAATCAAGACATTCATTTGTGAAAATCTATGAAAAAAATAGGGGTTATTACATTATTTACATCATTTGCAAGTGTTCTTGATGATGTTGGATTACCAGACATGTAGATTAATAAAGAATAATGTAAAGATTGATGGATTAATTTTTTAGACATGTAGATTAATAAAGAATAATGTAAAGATTGATGGATTAAATTTTTATGAAGAGAAATAAGGAGATTGGTGAAGAAAATGTGCAGTGGGGTAAAAAAAATAGTGAATAAGATGCAAGTAGAAAGGTAATAATAGAGTAAAAAAAAATTCTCTTCTTAGTTGGGGGCAACATGGAGTAATTTTGAGGAAACAAATAGCAATCCCCTCCATGTTTGGAAATCAATTATTCATTCTTGAGCATTACATAACTTTAATTCACAATTCATTTATTCACATAATTCTAACTTCTAACTAACATCAGTTCACACTATTTTTTCTAATTTTAGATCTAATTTAATTTAATTATTTTATTTTAAATAATATTTTAATATAACCTCAAAATCTTAAAATTCATATTTACAAAACACTTGGAGTTGCCAAATTAACACGATATTCTTTTTTCCTCAAACAATAAGTTTCCAATTCTCCAACTTTCCAACAACGGCAAATATAAACTTATATATACAAAAACCTCATAGCTACCCAAATGAAAACGAAATTTAGCTCCCAAAAACTTAAAAACAATTAATTAAACACAACAAAAAAACGGCTAAATCAATTGAGAGGAAAAATTAACTGCGTCTAACCCAAACAAAAAGAAAAATGAGGACCTAACCTCAGAACCGGAGCTTCGAGAAAAACCAGCGGTTCTTCCCGGACTTGAACCGCTCCTCCAACCGCGCCTTGATCTCCTTGCACGCCAGCGACCTTCCTGCCACGCGACGCGAGCGCGTCGGGGCTCACGACGTCCTTCAGATCGACGTCGAGCGTGTAGCGCGTGGGCATAATGTGGCTGCAGTTGACGACCTTGACGAAGGACTTGACGCGCGATTTGCTCACCTCGCCGAGTCCCGGCGGACGACCTTTGCCGGGTACTTGGCGACGCCGGCGACGAGGCAGTGGCCGTAGGGACGGTCGCAGGTGCCGTCGTCGAAGTTCCTGAGGATCGCCGCCTTGTGGCCAGCGTGGCGGCCCTGGAGGACTACCACCGCCTTGTTCGGCTTGATGAACTTCACCATTTTTTTCGTTTGTTGCTGCTGAAATTTGTGGGCGGGTGATTGTTTTGACTAGGGTTTTTTTGTACGACTCTAACGAATGGGCCTGAATGGTGGGCTGGATATTCACATAAGTGTAGTGAGAATGCCAATGGGCCGCGGTTACGTGATTATTTATTTAACCTTCTTATAAATGATGTGAATAAATTAACTATGGAGTATGGAACCTCGACCTTCGACCTTCCCCACTCAGTCATAAATGATGTTTGGTTTTGCATTTAACACTTCAATAAGTTAGTACACTAAATTAATTAATACTCTTCCCGAAAGCCTACACGCATCCCATGTTTCTTCCAAAAATTCTTTTAAGATAGCAAGTGTTCGTTTATTGTATAGAGAAATTCATTTTTTTTTAATATACGATCAGCTCATTCATTTATAAGAATTTGATGATTTACATAAACCAATATACCATACTTCTANTGTAAAAAATTGATGTAAACTACATGGTTCGACTTATATTTTGGTTTAGGCTCGATTTTGTTCACTCGAGGACTCCAACTTTTGAAAAATATAAAAAATGTACGAACGATTTTCTTGAATGCAAATACTATATACTTCTTAGGATGACTGATTGACTTTATTTAATTATATTGATAATATTAAAAAGAATTAATGGATAAAGTTGAGTTGGATTTAAAGTTAAAAAAGATAAAAAAATTATTTAATCAATCAAAACTGTATAATTTATATAGCGAATTGTTACTCCCTTAGTATTTTCCTTTTAGATTTTATTGAATTGTAGCTGTAACATATGTGCAAATTGTTAATACAACTTTTAAATAATAAAGCAATCATTATTACATATGTATTCATAAAATTTACTATTGGTCCATTGTCACTCAAAAGTACCAAGTGGCGAAAATATTATCATAAGTTTTTGAGGTTTATACATATGGCTGTAAACGAAAAGAATCGAGTTGAATATTTACTTTATTGAGCTTTGTTATATTTCTTTTACAACTGCTTGAGCTCGACTGAGTCAAGTATTCTAAGGATCGTTCCAACTTGAAAAAAAAAAATCATTGGAGATGGACCCAAATTTATTTGAGTTCAACATGAAAAATTGCAAAGAATTATATAAGAGTATTTAAGTAACTTTATGTATATTTAAGCAGACTATCGAACATTCGAGTGTTCAAATTACGGGCTCAAGTTTGAATTTGAAGCGGTCGGTCTCAAGCTTAAATTTGGCCAAACTTAATACGAGTCAAGCATTGACTCTAGCGCTTGTAAGCCACTTGATTCGTCTTCGGCTTTTACGTATTTATTGAAGTAAATAGTAAATATAAATATTATAAATGCACAAGAATACAAAACTATAACTATTTACCCGATTTATATTACATAAAGCTGTTTTTTATCTGCAGCTTTTGTTTCGTATTCTGTTTTTAACCACAAAATGGCAAATGTGCTCGCTCACACCATTGGACGTGCTGCGCTTCCAGTTTTCTTCTTCACTTCAGCACCATCTCTTCTCCTTCTCTTTGCTAGGGTTGCAGAAGAAATTAATCGCTATCATTATTGATTAAAGACCGGTGGAAGAGGTTTCAGGGATTCTCTCCCTGGTCTCTGATTGTTTCATACCGATTTCGAAGGTTTTAATTCAGTTTTTCCTTTCTCGTTTATTTTCAGTTCATGGGGTTAAGGGAGTAATCTGAGTGTTTTAGAGATGCTATGGTGGAAGAATAAACTGATAGGCTTTAGTTTTCAAGTGAGTGATATGTTTGTTTTTTGTTCCTTTTAAACTTCAGTTTATTTAGAGCAACAAAATTCGAAATGGATGGTTGTAGAGGTGAAGGCAGTATTGGAGCTTCGTCAAAGCTTCAGGGTCTCATACCAGTCGGTGCAAATCCTACAGGTTTGGCCATGGCTTTCTTCTTTAGATTTCAAACGCACGTTCTAATTTCGAATTTGGTTGCTCGTTGATCTGTTCACTTATCATTTCTCATCTTGTTAAATATGTTCTGAGTTTCAGAAGATCCATTGGGTTTAGGAAGTTGCAGTGCTTTTTAACTGTCTGCTTTGCTATTGTTTTTTCCATGTATGATGCAAAATGCAGCTTTCAGAAATTTGTCATGGGGTTTATTTTTGGCATACCTCACATAAAATGGGTCTGTCTACTTTTCTGTAGTGGACTGCTAAATATGGAACTATACCGACTCATAGTTTTTACGTCTTATACCCTTATTAGCTACCTAATGCTTTTCCTGTCTGCATGACACATACGAATTAGTTCACACAGCATGACTGAAATGATCTGTCTAGTAGGTCTTGAGTTCATCGTTTGACTTTGTATGTGGTCCAGGGGATGCTCTGTTTGACGCTTCACAATATGAATTTTTCGGTGGCAATGTGTTGGAGGAAGTTGAGTTAGGGGGTTTAGAAGACGGTGAGGATGATCTTGCCCCTGCTGGCTTCGAGGAAGAAGAGTTTCAGTTTGACAAGGAAGAGGTTGCTGCTTTGGCTTGAATTTTTTTTATTCTTTTTTCGTGTTATTTTTTCTTCGCCTTGCTTCATGTCCTAGGGATTTCAATACATGTGATAGTTACCTGTCCATAGGACCATACATGTGAAATTGTGGGATTGATGTCCCCAAAGTTTTTGCCCCCTGTATTGCTTGCTTCCCCCTGCACGTATTGTTAGCCTCATTAGTCCATAAGTCATCTTTTATTTGATTGGGTTGACTGCATTTTTTGTTAACAGTAACATCAATATATTACTATGCATTTGTCTTGTTTCACTGTTTCAGTATAGTCGATGTAGGTGCTGGCCTTCTCACTTTCTCAATCTTCATATTCATCCTTTTCTCTCTTGTGTTGCTGTTGATTGCTTTATATGTTTATTTGTAACACAACTTAGGAAACTAACTATGTGAATTATTGACTTTTCGTTGCCCATATCTGATATGTGATGCGGCTTTTTTTGTCTCTTTTCAAATGATTGGTTTTAATATAGAAATTTGAATTCTAGTTGGATCCACTTGTGCTATTTCATTAAAGTTGTGTCTGGTGGATCTAGCAGCACAAGGAAGTCAAGAATGCATGAAATAAAGAGGCAAACTGTTTAACTTTTTTTCTTGAAATATCTGGTGCTGCACTAATCTTGTCTGAATTCAGACAACATTTTGATTATTTTTGCAGTAGTAACAGGAGTTTCCCTGGTTTAGATGTACATATGTATTGCTTATTTAAAATTCTTTCTGATTACCTCTGTGTTACCTTAGTTATTCACCGGAAATTTGTTAGATTTTTCATTGGTCTGGGGGTTCTATGTCTATGTGGAAGGTTAGGAAATTTTCTGGTTACATTGTGTTGCTTTGTGTGGGGCTCCAAAACATCAGTAAGGGGCTTGTTTGATTTTTCTATTAGAATGTCATACGATCCTCACTTCCCTCCTTTTCAGCGTATCTGCAAGCAACATTGAGATACTGCCTTGCTGTTGTGTTTTGTGTGTTATTTATTGAAAAATGAGTTATCATATTTTTTGAGTGTCCCCTAAAGAATCATGGAGGAGTCTAGCAAATCATTGTTGCTCCATTATTCGTCTATACTATTTTTTTATGAATATTTACGAATAAATTATTTGTGACGATCATTTCCAATTCCAGGCAGATGGGTTGGGATCTCTATCTAAAATCGATGACCTTTCAAGTACATTTTCTAAGGTGAGACTTGACTTGCACTGAAATTTTCGCCAGTCCCATTAAATAGGAGTTAGTTTTACATGTAAACTTGATATTTTGTACATCCATGTGGAAGCATTATATAGTTAGTCTCCATCGAGTAATTGACTAAAATAGACTAAAAACCATTGAAAACCTAAATTAAACCCTCTTTACTTCCTTTCTACCAATTTTTGTTTCTGCAGTGTGATAATTTACCAAGGGCTGGCTTCTTGCTTACTATTACCATATATTATCTTTTTGCGGTTCATACTGAAATCATCTACCAGTGGAATTTCATCCATAAAATTTTATTATTGGAACATGATGACATGGTGGTAAATTCGTTGCACATATGCATCTTATCTGCATATCATGACCTTAGATTGGTCATTGTTCAACTCTTTCCCCTTGTTTCAATAATCAATACTTGAGCTTATTCTGCTTTGTTATTGTATATGACATTGATTATATAATAGGAACCGACGAGTTAAAAGTACTGTTATCTCATGCCCTTAGTATTCCTTTACAATATACAGTTGAACAAAGTTGACGGTGGCCCAACTAGTGCAGGAGTAATTTCAGACAGTGGATCCAAAGAAAGTGAGTAAACTGAAATCAGATGACACTGTTATAGCTTTTGACGCGATATCATTTACTGCTAAGCTCTGATCTATAGTAGTTGTTATTTAAAGTTGCAATCTAACTGGTTGCTAAAGATTGCCATTTCGCTTATGGTGCTATTTTGCTGCAGGTTCGTCGGCTGCTGAGCTGGCACACGGCCTGCATCTCGGTAATTCGCCAGATCAGCGTGCTTTCGATGCTGAAACACTTCACGATAGCAAAAACTGGTCCTCACATCATCCATATTCCGTGCCTCGCTTTGTGGGACCCGATTTATTGCACAGGACATCTTCATACCCTCACCAAGAGCAGCAAAAACTACAACACCACCATTCAACCGAACCAATTCTTATTCCCAATTCGCCCTTCACTTCGTACCCACCCCCTGGAGGAAGATCCCAGCAAGCCTCACCCAATGGCCTGTCTAACATTCCACATCACCCCAAATTTGTGGGGCCCACTATTTCTTCTATATCCAATTCGACTCAGTTACCTCAAGGTCTTCCACTTCATAACAGTCAACACCAAAACCAATGGGCAAACCAAACTAGCTTATTATCTCCACGAAATCATCTTAACTTCCCGAACAATTTTCCCGGTCAGAACAGATTTCCGCAGATGATGCCACCTCAGCAAACCTTAACCCCACATCGAGTTCATCCACACATTCCCCATTTGCAGGCCCAGTTACTCCCGAGAAGTAGCCATCCTGCTCTTCGTTATCCCCATAACGGCCCTCACGGTCCACCGAGGTTCAAGTCGAAATACATGACAGCTGGCGAGATTGAAAATATCCACAGGATGCAGCTAATGGCTACCCACAACAACGACCCTTACGTCGACGACTATTACCATCAGGCCATTCTTGCTCGAAAATCGAGACACCATTTCTGTCCGAGTAATTTGAGAGAAGAAGAAGATTCTTCGAATCCTCACCCGAGCAACGAGCCCCCCCACCCTTTCCTCCAAGTCGATGCTCTCGGACGAGTCTCCTTCTCCTCCATTCGCAGGCCCCGACCCCTGCTCGAAATCGAGAATCCCTCCAATTCACCTAATAATAATAATCCCGAGTCAAAAATTACCAAAAAGCCCTTGGAACAGGAGCCGATGCTGGCGGCCAGGGCGGCCATCGAGGACGGGATACGCCTCCTGCTCGACGTGAACGATATCGACCGATTTCTACAGTTCAACGAGCTTCCGGATGGTGGGGCCCAGTTGAGACAGAGGAGACAGGTCCTTCTAGAAGCCGTAGCTTCTTCGTCGTTTCATCTGGTCGACCCGTTGGCCAAAAACGGGCACACCGTGAGTTTATCACGCGGCAGGGACGATTCCGTCTTTTTACAGCTGGTTTCTCTCCCAAAGGGGAAAAAGCTCCTAACCAGATATCTCGAGCTTCTGAATCATCATCCGGGTGAGCTCGCCCGAGTCGTTTGCATGGCCGTGTGCCGTAATCTGAGGTTCTTATTCGGAAATACCCCCACAAATTGTGAAATGTCGATAATAACCCGAAATCTTGCAGATGCCGTCTCGAACTGCGTGATCCGTATTGAACTGAAAGCCTTGGCCGCGTGCCTTGGTTCTGTCGTTTGTTCGCCGGAGGACGAGCAGCCTCCTCTCCGGCCAGTCGGGCACTCATCGGGTGACGGGGCTTCGTTGGTGTTGAAATCCGTGCTCGATAGGGCCACCGAGCTTATGACGGGCCCTCGCGCGGCGGAAAACTGCTCAGATCGCCACAGAGCTTTCTGGCAGGTCTCGTTTGATGCGTTTTTCGAGGTGCTCGCGAAATACTGTTTTGGAAAGTATGACATTATTGTGCAGTCACGAGGTGCGGGGAATAATGGTGGTGATTTGGGTAATGCGATTGGTAGAGAAATTCCGGTGGAGGTGTTGAGGGCGTGCCTTCCTCATACGAACGAGCGGCAGAGGAAGTTGCTGTTGGAATTCGCACGGCGGTCTGTGTATGCAACGGGTTTTAATGGTGGCTCGTGATTGGTTGTGGTGTGTGATCAAGAAATTTGTCTAACGTAGTTAAACAGTTGTGGTATATAGCTTGTAGAAGCTGGTTGGTCTTTTTGAGCTGTTACAAAATTTTCACCGTCTTTTGTTTTACCCTGCACGTAGCGGCGGGGATTTTAAGGTTGTCATGTGGCCGGCGAATTGTATAATTTTCCGGTTACCTTTGAGTTTTGATGGCTTATTTTGATGCTCTGCGTTAGGCTATGTTTAATGAGTGATTTTCAAGATTTTAACTAGCTTATTTTGATGCTCTGTTTTAGGCTGTGTTTGATAACTAATAACTGCCTTAGGCTATGTTTAATAAGCGAATTTCAAGATTTTAACCAACTTATCTTGGCTGTGGAATAGTTGGGTGAGGGTGGTGAACTTTTTGAAATGTGGGGCTAGGTTTAATGTTGGAGATGGGTCTTCCATATCCATTTGGGATCATCCTTGGGTTCCTGGAATTCCAAACTTTAAACCTACCTGCCACTTCTTGAGGGATAGGTACAGGCTGTTAAAGGTGTGTGATCTTATGGTGGACAGCAGAACTAGGTGGGATAGAGATCTCATTAGACAATCTTTTAGTCCTGAGGAGGCAGATATGATTTTGCAGATCCCCATCTCTTGCTCAGGACAAAGAGACAAACTTATATGGCATTATGGTAAACATGGGAAATTCAGTGTGAAGTCAGCATATGAGATTATCCTCTCCAAGACCAGAAGCAGCAAGTGTGAAGCCAGTACTAGCAGTAATGCAGCAGTCAGAGCCATCATGTGGAAAAACACGTGGAACCTCCCAATTAAGAACAAAGTCAAGCACTTCTTGTGGAAATGTTGGTATAAATATCTGAGTACAAATGACCAACTTATTCACAGGCAAATGCAGGTGGATTCAATTTGCTCAATGTGTGGAATGTATGATGAAGATCTTGATCACATCTTGTTTAACTGCCCAAGAGCCAAAATGGTCTGGAAATTCAGTGGGGTGGAGTGGAGATGCATAGCTGGTGAAGTCATAAACTTTCAGCTTTGGTGGGAGGAAATTTGTGAAAAGCCTATTTCTGGTAGCCTCAAAGATAGAATAAGCCTCTCGGCTTATATCCTTTGGTGGCTATGGAAAACTAGAAATATATGGGTTTTTAGAAAGGAAAGAATAGCTGAGTGGGAGGTAGCTGACAGGGCTAGAATGGAATGGTTAGAATTTGATGTTGCTCTTGTTGATAGTAGGAAATCTTCTTGTGCAGCTGTTCAGCTTCAGGTTGATTCTGAGGAGTTTTGTTCTGAGTGGGTAGGACAGTGGTTGATCACTGTCAGTGCTCCTAGTTTTCTTCAGAATCAGTTGAAGCTGTCTTTTGTAGCTGAAAAGGATGGTGGTAATGAGCTGGTATTGGAACAATGCATCTGGTATAATGGCTGTTTGGAAGGTCAATGGCTAGAAGCTATTCGGTGGGTGATTCTGAAAGCTAAACAAGCAGGATGGCACAGAAGTGTCTGCAAAATGAAAAACAAAGCTGTAGCACTGAAGCTTGCCAAACAACAGGAATTTGATTTGTGTTGTAATACTATAGCTCAAGACATATATTATCTTTTGTCATCCTTTGATGCTTTTCTCTTTGTTGGGGTTTCTTAGGCTTCTGTTTTAGTTTTCTGTTTTGTTTCATTTTGTGAGGTTAGGGTGGTCGGTTTGTGACTGCCCGTTGGCTTAGCAGACTTGGTTGATGTATATTTTGTAAATTTTTTGTGATCTATGATAAGTTGCCGTAACCAACTTATTTTGATGCTCTGTTTTAGATTGTGTTTGATAACTAATAATTAATAAGTGAATTTCAAGATTTTAGGTATAATTGAAAATTTAGCTAATATGATAAAATATTTGGTAAGATTAATTGAAATGTCAATCGAAATACAAAATTTTAATGCATTTATTGAATCGATTATCCTATGGAGCCATCGGATGACTCGGTTTATGGAGTCATCCATAGTCATCCACAAATAGTGTATTGACACGTGTCCTACAATAAATACACATTGGACACGTGTCAATACATAAAGTTATGGATGGCTCCATAAGGGAGCCATCCGATGGCTCCATAGAATTACTGTTTATCGAAATAACTATCAAATAAACTTATTAAATAAGGTCAAATTATTTAAAGGCACTATTCTTACTGCATGCCTTAGAGCACCCACAATGTTTTGGGTCTCTTTAAAAAAAAAATGACATGCCATGTAGGAAATAGACCTAATCTATAAAAAGGTGTCACAATACAATTAGAAGTGGACCTAGTCTAGCTTATGTGGCAATAAAAAAAAAACCAAGTCTACTTTTGAGTTTATTTTGAACTCAAGTGTGAACCTTACAACAGCAATCATTTACTATTATTATATTTTTATTAGTTGTTAAGTATTCTAGACTTAGTACTTTTTTTTTGCATTGGATATATTTTGAATTTTTTAGCTTGAGTTTATGCATGTCATTATAGATTTAAGTCTATTTATTTGCCACATATGCAAAAAGAGACCCAAAGCATTGTGGGTGATCTTAGGGANGAAGACTTCTCTAAGGTTTAATGTAAACTCTCAAGTTCTCTAAGGTTTATGTAAGCTGTCGAATAGGAATGCATAAAATTAGGTTAACTAAGTCGAACCAACCGAAACTGAAAATTCGACTTGGAGCAAAATCGAGTATTTTGTTCGGTTTTTGATTTATATTTTTCTAAAATTTTAATTTTTGGTCCAATTTGATAATACTAATTATGGAATTGAATTGAAAATTTCTGACTTGATAATACTAATACAGAATTGAATTGAAAATTGATTTACACATAATTATGGAATTGAATTGAATTGATTTACACATAATTATGCAATTGAATTGAAAATTGATTTACACATGCGTGTGCACACATATATGTTATGAAAATATTGTGAATGATGATACCCATAAAATAGCTCAAACATTAATTTACACACAAAATCCACGTCCTAGTTCGAATCTAAAATCTTCCTCGAGTAGAATTTTAAATTTATTGAGAACATTAAATAAGATAATAAAAAATAAATTTCTTAATGTGGATAAAAATCAGTTTATTTAGTTCAATTAAAATTTGAAATTTTTTTTTAAAAAATTATTATTTATTAAGATTAACTGATAACCGAACTTTTTTTGGTTAAAAATTTATTTCTTATATGGAATCAACTTAACTTTTTTTGGTTAAAAATTTATTTCTTATATGGAATCAACTTAATTTTCGGTGGTTTAATTTTGATCGAATGAGCCTAATCTCGAGTGACCAAGCCAAGCCGAACATGAACCTTAACGAGCCGTGTTCAGCTTGTTATATAAACGAGCCAAAAATTGAATCCGAACTTTGACTAGCTAATCTCGAGCCGAACTATAAAAAGTTACATAAAAATTATCTTTTCGAGACTTGATATATCAAATCGAGCCGAACTCAACTTATTAACCACAACTTATTAACCCTTTTAATGAGCTTTAGCTCGACTTGATAACCACAACTTATTAACCTTTTTAATGAGCTTGAGCTCGACTTGTGACCTGAACACTCGTATTGAGCCGTTCAATTTTACAGCACTAAGAGCATCTCCAATGGTCTTTCCATTGTTGCCGGCATAAAAATTCTGATGTGGCCAAAAAAATATCTAGAAGACTTTCTAGATGTAGAAATCTTTCTAAACAATTTCTATTATATATTATATTATTTATTCAATTTATCTCTCTTCTCCAACCAATTACAATTTTACCCATAACAAATTACACCACAATTAACACTAATCATTGGAGACAAAAAATTTTAATTCTCTTTCTCCATGTCATACATCACAATCTCCATGTCATACCTCACAATCTCCATTGGAGATGCTCTAAGTCACACTAGAACTTGTAACTCAAGTATTACCTTTCATTACTAAGAAACTACTAACCAAACAAGAAACCATTCAACAAACATACTGACTCAAACAACTACACCACCAAATTCTACCAAACTACACTATCACCACACAGAATCATTTCCTCAAACTCGCCGGAACCACCGGCCACCGGCGAGCCTCACTCCCCGCCGGTTTCCTTACCTTTCTCGACGCCAGAAAAAAGATGGACAGGCTTCGAATCAGCAATAACACGCCGTTCATCATCATCTTCCCGTTGTGCGGTTGCAATACGGCCGGCGCCGGAAAATAGATCCACCGGCTGAGAGTCAGCGATTTTGCCGCCCTCGATGGGCGTGCCGGCTTTGTAGCTCACCCTTAGAGCCTCGTCTTCCGATAATTTCGCCTGAGCCGTGGCGTGCTTTATGTCTTTCTTGCTGCTCGCCATTTTTTAATTGACCTTTCTTAGAGCTTATTTATGTTTGGTGTAGTTTGATTTTCTTGATATTGCCACTTCCAAAGGTTTATCTGCCTATTTATATTTGCTGTGTAGCATTTTATTTTCACGCGTACGCGACAGCTGTCACGTTTCCGGGGACACGTGGCGAATGGTGACGGAGCTAGTCATGGAATTCCCATCTCATATTTGGTAAGTTTTAATTTCTAATTTTTAAATGGGATGTATTCAATTGGTATTCTAAGTGATATTTTTAAATTTTTTAAAATTTTTAAATTTTTGAAGAATTTTATGAAATTTTATGTACGAGTGTGGGATTTAAGTGAGATTTTGTATAAGATTTTTTTATTGAGAAATACCACGAAATCTTAAAAAGTCTTAACAAATTTAAATGTCAAATAAATTTAATACCTAAGAATTTTGTAAAACTTTTTAAAATCATAATTGAATACTTCAAGACTCTTAAAAATATTAAAAAGTCTTAACAAATCTAAATTGAATACACCAAAATTTCTAAAGTCTTACAAAATTCTTATAAATTTCAATTGAATACACCAGAATTTCTAATTAGAATGTTTTTATTTATTTATTTTGTGATTGGACTAAGTATGAATTCTATCCATTTTTCTTGAGAGATGGAGTTATGGTCGGGATTATTTCTGTATATGGTAAATATTAATTTGCTACGAGAGATCTCTCATCTAAAATGTGCACAATTTGCAGCATGGCCTTTTTAACTTCATAAAAATCGCAGTTAAGATTAACATTTTATATAGGAGTGGCTTATATAGTGTACTTATTTCTTAAACAAATGGTAGGAGAAAAAGGAAAAAAAAAATTGAATACAACATGTATTTTGCATGAATTTGGCTTTTGCAAATTAGAATTTCCCGGACGAATAAAAGCTTAAATAAATAATAATAATAATAATAATAATAATAATAATAAATAAACAACAAATAAAAACTGGGACAGTAGAGACTAGAGAATAACAGAAATAGAAATTATCTTGTACAAATAGTTCAATTCCAGGGTACTAAAAGTAACTTAGATTATACAAATGCAGATAAGAGTATCCACAAAATATATGGTTTGATACAAGTTTTATCCCATAAAAAAAGCTTACAAATTTATTACTGTGACAAAGCACTTGTGTTGTAAACAAGAAGTGCACCTCCAGCAAGAAGACCAGCAAGAGTAGCAGCCCATATGGCTAATCCAGTTTTACCTGCAATTTAATCATATTACATATACAATTAAGCAAAAACATTATAAATCTAATTTCTTCATATAGATTACATAATTTTGCCATGATTACATAATTTCATCATAACTTATATATATATAATTACATAATATTGCCATCAAAAGTTTAAAAACATTACCTCCAACATAAACATCACCACTTGGAGACCACTCATCTTCATTGTAGATGGGACTGCATTCGAATAAACAAAAGTGTTAAAAAAATATAGATTTTACATAAATTTTTGTATGTGTCACATTTTTATGACAAAGATACATTTATTTAATGACATACTTTATTTATATTATTTTTTAGTGTGTGTTTGTACGAGGGTATTACCTGTATCCATCAACGTTAGCACCATATTTGTCGACAAATTGGTAAACACCCTTTCCCTGTAATTAGAACACAAAATAATAATACATAATAAAATTGTGAAAATAGTCTCGTAATTTTTAAGATATGTTAGAGGTGTCCTGTTGGAACTTAACTAGTGTGTATCCCGTGCGATGCACGAAAATATTATTAAATTAACAATATTATAAATAGACCTCGAGTTTGAGTCAATGGCGGAAATGAAAACTACTATTGATCCTATTTAAAAAGAGGAAGAAAAAAAATAATTATAAATAAAAGAGGAGGATAAACAATACTTAATAATTATAAATTAAATATTCGGGGTCAAACAATGTAAAATTATTTTATATAAGAGATTATAAAAAAATTTGATTACACACCATTTCAAAATTATTATTATACTTTTTTGTATTGTTAACTTAGAATATTGTAAAAATATTAGTAATTAGACCGATGAAAATTAGCTTCTTAAAATAGATTTTTTTGCCTATTCAGATTTGTCCAACAATTACTATATATAGAATATATTTAATGATTTTGGCGGGAAAAAGTTTTTAAAATTGTAAAAAGGTTATTCTTTTTATATAATGATAGATAAATCAATCAATTTTTCGGCTGGAAATTTGAGCTTCATTGCACATGATGTGTCGATTCTTGGAACGAAATTTGGAATTAGGCCAAAAAAATTACAATTTAGTCAATCAATTTTCAAGATTACAAGATTACTATCTATTAATTAAACTTTAACATGCTAAAACACCTCAAATCTACCGAATTCACTGTATCACTACTCTCAAATCTAATTTTATTTATTTATTTGTCTAGGAATTTCTTTTTAAACAAAAATTAGCTCAATTTTTTCATAAACGAACCTTGGGCTTCCTGCCAGAGGCATCGAGACCATCCCTCAAGGCCATACCTCCATTAATTCCTGCAAACAATTAATTGCAAAAACAAGAAATAATACAAAAATTATGGTCTAAAACCGCCTAAAAATTAAGACTAGTAATATTATTTTAACAAAAAATGCATTTATGTTGATTTGTCATAGTATGATATTTCAATTAAAAAATATAACTAATTGTTAAATCTATGCTTAATTTTGTTTATGTTATTTTTTAAAATATAACATTTTTTATTAAGATACCTATTTTACATCTGTCTAACATCAATCTTACTGTAAACAATAATCAAGAATTTGTCCCTCCACATAATTCTAATTCTAATAATAATAATAGTAATAATAATAAATAATAATAATAATAAAACTAACCATAGGGTTTATCGGTCTTAATTTTCTTGACACCGCTGGCAACAACCCGGAAGCGGGTGGTTCTGGCCAGCGGCGGCAGCCCTCTGACGGCGGACTTCTCGACGGAGAACGGCACCGGTTTCAGGCTAAGTGAGCTCATGACGGTGGTGGCCATGGAATGTGCTTCTCTCAGATTAATTTCTCTCTAGCTATGTGCCTTTCCAAGTTTATTCTGATAATGTACGATAAATGATAAACATTTGGAGCCATAATAATTAGAAATTTTGAGATGCACATTTGGACACGTGGCGGTGACCGTATGGGTGGGTTGTGGATATGGTTCTCACAAACATTATCAAAATTTGCAAAATTCTGATTTTTCCAAACATCAATTTCCTTGTGGGGTGCACTCAGACACTCACCATTGGTTGCAAGAAGAACAAATAATTATCCAACTTTTTAATTTTGTTTCAATTATTGGTCTATTTTTGTATATTTCTGAAATCAAGGGCTAAAAAGCTCATGCATGTATTCTCGTAGGGACAAGCACGGAATTTCTCTCATTATTCATATCGAACTTCATATATTTAAAACTGGTAACGAGTCGAGCTGTGTTGAGCATTAATCATATCAAGTCATCCTTGACTTTTGTCGAGCCATGCATGCTTTTTTGACACCTGCTCGAACTCGACAAGTCTATGTTGCTCTAGGCTCGGCCCGATTACACTACAATAGACGATCAAGATCTAGTCGAATATGATCACCACCTTGAGTTTTGCTTGAACTCGGTTCAAAAATTTCAATTAAAAAGATGTCTATGAGGGATATTTAGGTAATTTTTCATGCATTCAGGCGGTTCATGAAATCAGAATATGTTCAAACTCGAATCGAGCAATGGCTTGAGCGTTACGTTGGCAACCCTAGTCGTACCAATGCCAAAGCAATCGGGAGACACTAACAGCAAGGGCTCCAAACGAGTTTGAGTGGCACTTGATCTCGACTCAAGCTTTATCAAAGTCGAGCATAACTCGTGCCAAAAAATGACTCAAGCTCCAACCACTATTTTGTAGGTTCGAGCTCTCAACGAGCAACTCGAATAATGTACAGTTAGCAATGCACCCACCCATCAATAATAATTCTTTGGTGGATTAAATATTGAAAATCAAGTTGAATTTGCACAAAACTCGTGCATTATCCAACATTTAGTCGATCTCGAGCACACTTATCTTTTCCTCAAAAAGTCAAGTAGAGCAACATTTTACAAACTATAAAGACATCTAGCCAGAACTTGAGAGTAACAATCACTGGCTCACTATCATATATATACCTACCAAACATGGCGAAAATTCGAAACACAACCCCACTAACACAATGACTACGAAATCTTCGTGTTAAATCGGTTTATAGAGTACCGAGCACTTTAACAAACTTTGAAGCTGCAGCAATGCCACTTGATATGGCACCTTCGACATTCGGCATCACGCAAAAGTCGCCACATATTGCTAATCTCCGCTTTTCAACCCACAAGCACTTATCCTCTCTGGCAATGCCGGCAATTGGGAAGGCACTCCCCCTGACAATTAACCGCACAATATACAATCGGTTATTATAAACTTTCCATCAACATACAAGTTAATAGATTATTCCTTTTCAGAATAAGTTATGACTGTATTTGGTAAGTATATACGCTAGTTTATAGCTTATATTTGATTAACTTATAAACTTCATGTATTCAAATAAACTTGGGTTAGTAGTAGGACGAGCTTTTTTAAAAAGCTTCGAGCTTATCTCAAAAGCTTCCTTGGGTAGTTTTTCAAATAAGCCAATTGAAATTTTAAATTTCAGCTAGCTTATCAGCTAATTTTACCAAACACTTTTATGATATAAGCTAGTTTTTCAGTCATAAGTCATAAACTATCAGCTATAAGCTCGAAAATCACTTAAATGCTATAAGCTAGCTTATCAGCTAAGTTTACCAAACATAACTTATATATGTTTTATTTGGTTTTGTTGTTATCCGAGAGAGGTTAGATTCAGGATGGGGCTCACCGCCTCGGTAAAAAGAAATTCACATTCCTAAGGTAGCGAGTTGTATAATAAAATCCGAGAACTTGCACGAAACACTTAACTATACCAACCATCTATGGGCTTTCTTGAAAAAGGGCTGTGAGATGTCGAGCCCGGTGCTCTGGAATTCTTGAAATAGCTCATCAGCCACTCTGGACAATAAATCACTAGAAGGCTTTTGGAGTCCCGTTTGAGAGATAATACGCTCTGCGTACTCTGCCGTAGAATGCAGCACCCAACACTCGCTGTCCGACAAGAAAAGAAAATATTTCGTGCGTTTTGAAAAACTTCCCAAAGTATACAATCTTTGTTAAATATCAGATATTACAGCATTAGCAAACCTGGTGGTGTTTGAACGTCCGGGCTTGCTGCTGTCGCAAAAAGCCCAGCTTAGGACTTTCGAGTTTGTGAAAGAAAAGCCCTTTGTTGGTACCTGAAACCATAAAAGAATAGAATCAATAAAAGGATTTTTGTCCAAACAGGACATTACCCGTATAAAAGATTAGCTAATATATATGAATACAGCCGACTGATTCAGAGTTTAAGGGGTGGATACAAATTTGTATCCAAATATCCAATCACTTTTTTTATTCAAATTTAACTCATCCTCACTCATTATCAAAATAAATATATAATACCAGTCAATCATCCTCACACATCACATTAACTTTAATTCACTATTCATCTACTTACATAATTTTCACATAATTTAACTGTCCATCACTTCCAATCATGTCTCTTACTTTTATATCAAATCAACTTTAATCGTTTCATTTTAAATATTTTTTTATTACAAAATTAAAATCCCACACAAACCTAACTCAACCAACTTTTTCAAAATTAACGATGGTTAACAAAAAAAATCCAATCAAAACTTCATCAAATTTATATCCAAATAACCTAGAGAAAAATGTATCCATAGTTTCAAAAATTGGGCAACAAATTTTCTTTGCTGAAGATACTTACCGAGGAAAGAGGTTGTTCGAACGCCAACATAAGAGCAAAGCAAGGGGTAACAGGGATTTCATTTATTAGTAGGGCCTTGTCTGAAAGCGAAACCAGATCTACACAAAAACAAACACAATTAAATTGGTTCAATGCCACTACAGGGCCGGCATCAGATATTAGAGTCTAGAGATAATGCAGTTAGAAATAACTGGCATGAGATATTAGAGGTAATGCAGCTAGCAATGACTGAGACTATATACCTTATACCAGACACTAGTCAGAGAGAAAAAGGAAGATAAAAGGCATACTTGGATCCAGAAAAGTTTAAATCGTCATTGTAACAATGATCACATATAAAAGTAGATTGAGTTCCAGTCATTTTCCACAACTTCTCAACTTATTGGCTGAACTCCCCTTGGTAGATATTTTCCATCTAACCAGTTCCATGGGACTATAAAGAAAAAAAAGAAAAACATAATCATGCATTTGAACCCTTATTTATTTGCCTCGGTGATGGATGAGGTCACAAGGGCATACAAGGTGATATCCCTTGGTGTATGCTCTTTGCTGATGATGTGGTGCTAGTTGACGAGAGTAGAGCAGGGGTTAATAGGAAGTTAGAGCTGTGGAAGGACACGTTAGAGTCGAAAGGCTTCAGACTTAGTAGGACGAAGACCGAGTACATGACGTGCGCTTTCAGCATGGCTCCACATGATGATGGTGACGTTAGCCTGGACGGGCAAGTGGTGGCTAAGAAAGAGACTTTCCGGTATTTAGGATCGATGCTATAAAAGGATGGCGGCATTGATGTTGATGTTAGGCATAGAATTGCAGCCGGTTGGTTGAAATGGCGGCAAGCTTCGGGCGTTCTCTGTGATAAGAGGGTACCACAAAGGCTAAAAGGTAAGTTTTATAGGACGGCGATTCGCCCGACGATGCTAGGCCTACAAAAAGACAACATGTCCAACAACTAAGTGTAGTAGAGATGCATATGTTGCGTTGGTTCTGCGGGCACACAAGAAGGGATAGAATCCGGAATGAAGATATTCGAGATAGGGTCGGGGTGGCTCCAATTGAGGAGAAATTGGTTCAACATCGACTGAGGTGGTTCGGACATGTCCAACGGAGGAGGCTGATGCACCGGTGCGTAGGGGAGTTCTAGTTCGAAGACGTAAAGAGAGGTAGAGGTCGGCCTAAACTCACTTGGGAAGAGTCGGTTAAGAGAGACCTTAAAGATTGAAATATCTCCAAGGATTTAGCGGTGGATAAGAGCACTTGGAGGCTAGCAATCAACGTGCCAGAATCGTGACTTTTGCTCCTTTCTCTTTTGCTCCAATCTCTTCCTTTTGTTTCAACCCTTTTTTGTGTTTCTCTTACCGATGGTTCTCTTAAATTTCATCTCTAGCCTACCCCGACTTGCTTGGGACTAAAGGCTATGTTGTTGTTGTTGTATAATCATGCATTTGAACCTTCCTCTTTCCCTCCGTTAAAAAAACATGTTGTTACAGCACAGAGGGCCTAAACCAAGAATTTCATCGTCACAAGAAAAATCACTGTAAGAAGTGTTAGAACTTAGAACACTTCTCTTTTATTAGACTAAAAGTAAAACGAGATCAATATTCTCACTGTAGAAATATAGCTTTGCAACTCTAATGGTGGCAAAAGTAAATGCATATCCATAGGACCATAACTACAATGAAAAAAAAAAAAATAATAACTATGATCTGAACATTTCAGAACAAAATACCATCTAGCAACACAAGGACCCGAAATAAACAAACAGCACAATTTTCAAATGGAAAAAAACTCTTCTACTTTACCAATAGGTGGGGGTTTTCCAGTGAGACTTCTTAACCTGGAGGAAAACGTGCTTTTGTCAGATGCCACCACTCCCTTAAAGCAACCAACATTTTGACCATCCAAGCTTGTCAAAGACCACGAATCATCCCCATCCAACCAATCTAAGTTTCCAATACCAAGCCCAAACTTGGTTTCTATACCTAAGAAAGAATGTTTATTTTCAGAGAAATACACCCGGAAAAAGAAAAAGGTGAGAATGAATTGCATACCAGGCTCATGGCATAATGCTTTGCAGATAGAGTTCATTCCAGGGACACCAACATATCTCTTGTCTGATCCCTCCTGCATTAATTTAATTTAATATGCGAGGGAAGGTTAAACAAAAAAAGAAAAAGAAATCATGTTTTCAGTATACCAAGTGCATAACTCACATAGGCAAGGCTCGAATTTACGTCATATTGAACTGATTTTTAATTTCTCGCTAGGTTGCCTTTTTAACAAGGAATACCTTTAGAAACAAATTGGAGGAATTCACCACTAAGGATTGCAACAGTTGGGATGGATACATCTGGAATAGGCATATGTATTCATTCGTTGACTTGTTTACTTATATATGAATCCAATGTCATCTGAATCAAGATTGAATCATAATGGATATTATGTGAACTCGAAAATTGATCAAGTGAGATCAAACTCCAAAAGAAGATAAAGGGAAATAGACTAATTCACATCATCCATCATATATCCCCAAATGGCAACATGGATTACATATTTATATGATAGAAAACAGACTAATTTACATCATCCATCATATATCCCAAAATGGCAACATGGATCACATATTTATATGATAGAAAACTATTAATCAAACAAATTGTATCATAATCCATAACTACCCTAAAGTTAATACAAAATCTCATTGATACCCTAACCACTCACAGTATCAGTCAATTACAGAACAAAAGTAGCGTCTGAAACTCCTATTAGCACTTTAAAAGATGGCAAAACCATTGATTAAGGCATAACCAAGTGTATACTGTTGTATGCCCAAACTAGTATCTGTCTTTTAACACAATTAAACAAGACAGCTTCACTGAAACAAACACTAGGTCACTATTAAACATCATTTAAGAAATTGCTAGCAAATTTTACACAATCACAAACATAAAAAAAGAAACAGACAACAAAGTAGTTAGCTGCACTTGATTACTTTTCTCATACCTCTTCTATGTGGACGAACTTTTTGGAACTAAAATCAAAAGAACCAAACTTCTCTTTCCACTCCCCAACAATTCCTCTTGATTCCCAGTCATTCACCAAACTCTGCACTTCTAAATTGCTAGCATTCACAGCGAAATACGGTGCACCGTGGTCGAACAATAGCTCTCTCCCATCTTCACAACGCTCTCTACAACCAAAAATTAAACAAAACAAAACAAAATCACAATTTGCAGCATATACAACCGATAGGTGAAAAAAAAATAGGGGAAAACAAAAAAGTGCACCTCCTCTGTGACATGCGGCCGCCGGGACCTCTGCCGGACTCGAAGACGGTGACGGACACTCCATTCTTTGCCAGAATCGAAGCGCACACTGCCCCTGAGACTGAAAATACAGTGAATTTGAAAAAATCAATTGTTGATCAACAGAAGATTAGTAATTGGTGCATAGATCTAGATTTATCACGACTTGATAACACAGTGACGGAAATTTTTTACGGAGGTTTGCACTTACTCCCGCTGCCGATGATGGCGACCTTGGACGCAACACCTGCCATGGCGGCGCGTGGCCGGAGAAGCTGAGAGCTATCCCTTCGGTTGCAGATAATGTCATATGTGAACCTCTTTTGCACAACAAATGCTTGTCGGTCATTCTCACTCATTAATTAAGATCATGTGTACATTGATAAAAGTGTTGAAAAGACACGAATCTTAGAAGTTAAATTCAACTTTGCTCGTTTGATAATAAAAAAATCAACTTAGCTCATTTGATGATCGAGCAGCACATCTAAATTTCCCAGCTCATTAAAGGCTCCAGTATATAAGTTTATGCATAAGTTTTAGTTGGGCTCATTAATACTTGCAAACTAATCAAATTAAAGCTCGTTCAGTTTTTTACGTAGGCCAATAGAAACCGAGCCAAAACTTAGGTATCAAAAGTTTAACCTCAACTCGATTCGTTTACAACTCTAAAATAAAATAGTGATTAATAAAAAAATTTAATAATTAAGTATGTAATAATTATCAATGTAGGTTTATATTTTCACGTTGCTATTTTCCAACCTAGCAACCTTGTGAAATCAATTTTATTTTTTGGAGTGAATAAAAGAAATTGACTGTGAATCTACAAATTGCATGTATGTACATTGTACACAGTTTTAGGATATTATAATCATTGTTCTGTATAATTAATTATCAAAAATACTTTTTGAATTTGTATAGTTTATATATGAATCACAAAAACATTATTTGTCAAAAAAAAAAAGTATATATTACGGAATCTAATATTTTGTGTTTTTTAAATTTTGAAGAGCGAGTTAAATACAACTTTTTTTTATGTTTATTTTTTGCTTCAATTGCAAGGGGAGCTGAATTGAACTCAAGCACACTTTTTAACTTATTATATTATATAACTATTATTATTTTCTTTTATTTTTTATACATAGATTTTTTATGAGAAAAACGACCTAGTTGTAAGATGTAAGCGAGCCGAGCTCAAGCCTTTAATGAGCTCATAATCAAGCCCAAACTCTGTTCGTTTATCAATATTAATAAGGTGAGCTCGAGTCAAAATTGATCTTTAATGAACCGAATTATAAAAAATTGCATAAAAATCATATTTTCGAGCCTTGTCGAGCCGAGCTTAACTCGTTAACTAAACGAGCTTTTAAATGAACTCTAGCTCGACTCATTTATCAAACGAGTCGAGCCGAACTCGAACCTTAACAAGTTGAGTCGAGACTGTCGAGTCAAACTCACGACCAGCTTGTTCAATTTCACAGCTCTAAACTAGCTTCAGACTAATAGCTGAATATTTCACAGGCTCAATATTCTACTCACATTCTTGTAACTATCAATCACTGTTCCACTATTCCTGTATCACAACCACATTACTTACTAGTTATTACATCTCCATTTTACATCACTCATAATTTTCAAATTTCCCCCCAAAAATTTCCATGTCATCTCTCACCATCAAACGACGAACAAAAAGCAGTTATCGTCGAGATGGCAATAACAAAGCCGCGCTCCATCTCGGATTTCACATATATCAACAAAGCTTCGTCAAAGCAAAAGCATACATTATGGTTACCCAGAAAATGTACATACCTTCAGACATTTATCCCAAACTTCCGTACCGTCAAAAGTTGCACAAAATCGACACTTTTTTTTTTTTCTCGTTAATTTCGACTATTGTATTTGTGATACTGCCAACCGTCCTGACACCCGATTTCGCAATCCTCAAAGCATACAGTAAGCCACGGCCTCATCTCACAAACCGCCTCAAAATCCCTCTTCCCCACCAAGCAAGTGCCACCGGCCCCGAGCCACCTCAATCCACGGAAAAACGGCCTCTCCATTAACTTCACGAACCTACCAGAAAATCGCACACAGTGACAGATATCGAGCCTTCGAAGCACGCTCTTTCCTTCTCTCCTTCCAGAAGCTAGAGCCTCAAAAGAAGCATCCGTCACGTGAAAGCAGTATCTCATGCTCAGCTCCGTCAATGCATCCGCTCTAGCCATAATCCCAAAAAAGCCCCTATCAGACATACCCGGCATGTGGCCCACGTCCAGGGACAACAACGTCTTTTTCATTTTCAAACCATCGTCTAGCAAGGCAATAATCCCCCTGTCGGTTACCCTCGAGCATCCTCTCAGACACAGATTCGTCAGAGGCAAATCGCCTTTTCTCAAATAACGAAGAAGGCCACTATCCGTAATATCTGCTCCTCCTAAATTAATCGACGTGAGCGTACTGATATTTGATACATAATCGAGACACCTGTCGGCCATACTCCGGCAGCTAGACGTGTCCAAGACTTCCAATGTGGGAGACGAGGCCAATTCTGACGTGGCCTCACTAGTGATGAGATTGCACGACCTCAGCCTCAGCTCGACCAAACGGGACAAAACCCGAAAAGTGTCGTGAAACGCCAGGTCAGACAGTAACGGCGCGTTTCGTATTTCGAGGCTCTTGAGGCCGCGGCACGTTTGCGTGAGGTATGAAAATCCGGCGTCGGTGACTTTCGAGAAGCCGCCGAGCCGAACGGACTCGAGGGCCCCACAGCTCCCGGCGAGAACCATAAGCCCCATGTCGTTTATTCTCTTAAACGAGACGGGATAGTGAAATCGAGAACGGATAATCGAGAGATGAGTTAAATTCTTGCAGGAGCCCAAGGAAAGGAGCCCGTTGTTGGTGAGGTCGTGTGGCAGTTTCGGCTCGGAGAATGGTCTGTCTTCGAGATCGAGCTCGGTTAATAGAGAGAGTGAGCTGGCGATTGAGAATGTGAGTGTGTCGGATATAACGTTCAGGACGAGCGAAAGTTTCGTTATGCAATTGATCGTCGTTTTTCTTTGAATTCCTCTCTTGTCGCTGAATTTTTCGAGAAACTGACAGGTGTCGCGTTCGTTCACCGGCTGCAACTTGAGGAATTTCAAACTTTCGGGAAGGGGAAGGTCGGCACAAGACAAATCACATGGATCGCGTTCCATCACACGGACTTTAATGCTTAGGTTCTGACAGAAATTATGGATTTCCACTAAGTTGGGTTTGAATAGATTGGTGAAACTGAAATGTGATGAAATCGTTCGGACAATTTACGATGTGAAATTGTACCTCCAAAAAGAGCAGATTGCCCAACATTCTCACAAGGTATCTCTTAAGGATTTCAGGCGAGCAATCCCCTGCTAGTTCCAGGATAAGAACCCTAATAGAAGAAAAGAAACTCAGTACCATAGAATCTAAACCCGGTGGTCATTACTTTGGAATTTGAGTGCAGTATGCAGAATTTACCTTAAATTTGGGCATTTTTCTCCAATGGAAGCAAGAACATGATATGAAAGGGAGGCACCCTTGAGCAAACTCAGCTCTCGAATGTGTGGTCCAAGAATGCTGGCGATGGAGCAATCATCCAAGTGGAGACAGTCGATAGTCACACTCGTAACAGCTCCCAATCTGGGAACCATGAGACGAACAAGTTCACCATCGGGCGAAAATGCCTATCAACAAACAAATACCCAATGAATAAGCATCCCCTTTCTTCCCTATTCACATACAATTCCACTGTACCAGAACAGGATAACTTGTTTATCAATCAAAATCAGTAATTAAAAAGTGTTCGCTATTACAAATTAACCTAGCCGATGATTAAGGATATCTATCTAACAGATAATCGGGGCTATCTGTATGCATTTAGAGGCAGATTTAGCAGTAACCTATGCCAGACCGGACTGAACAGTTCACGCAAAGCAAATAAGCAAAATCAGTTCTCAGAAACTATGAAACATTTAAACTTCAACAAAAGCACAAATTACTCGCTAAACGAGGGCTTACAGAGAGGTCAAGCGAGGGGAGAGCTGCAAGGGCTTGAGAGGCCATTGAACGGAGGGGACGACACACACAAGCCAGGGTGCATAGCGACTCCAGCTCCAGTCTCCGGAAAATTTCTCCGACGGTAATGGCGTCCGGGAGAGGAAAGCCGTCTCTCGGCGGCGCAACGCGGCCGATTGCCGGCGACGTGGCGGCGGTCTCGGCGCGGTGTCTCTTGTCGCAATTTTTCTTCATGTCAAGCGGCATTAGAATGCTGACAGAGAAGCGACTTTAAAATTTTATGTCTCGAATGGAAGCAAAACGGTGTCGTGATTCTTTTGTGCGTGTCGTGTACAATAATAAACTAGTACAGAGCCCGTGCACGAGGTGCGTGCTAAATTCTAAGGCTATTTATTTAGGCTTATAATTATATACATAAATAAAAAAAAATGTACGGGATATATATAGCACGTGACCCGTGCGAAGCACGAGATATATTTATTTAGATAATATTATATTATAAAATGCAATATTCAATAAAAGTTTATAATACGCAAGAAAATTGTACAATGTTCAATAAAAGTTTTATAATATTCAAGTGGAGTCTTAAAGTCTCTTGTAAACTACTGACAAAATAACACGAGATATATTTATTTGGATAATATTATATTATAAAATGCAATATTCAATAAAAGTTTATAATACGCAAGAAAATTGTACAATGTGTTTTATAATATTCAAGTGGAGTCTTAAAGTCTCTTGTAAACTACTGACAAAATAATATTTTAATCAACGAGTTTCCTTTCCTTGTAGCCAAATTGTGAATGTGATTTGAGGAGTACAACAAATCGATGTATAACTGACTTGCTTTTTTCATTGTAGTTTTTTTTCTTTTTTTATAATGAATTTAAAGATATTCTAAAATATAGCAAAAATTAATTTTTTTTATTACAATTAGAAATTTTACTAAATATAACTCTCAATCTATGGTGTTAATCAACGTTTAAGTCTAAAAAATTAGAAATTTTTACCTCTTTTAATCAACGTTTAAGTCTAAAAAACAATAGAGTTATCATAAGTTTTTTTTCTACATCTTTTAAAACATTAAATATGAGCATGTTAGGGCTAGCTTGTAAAATAATTAATATATTATCTCACTAAAACATTTATACTAATAAAAATTTAATTTTAGCATATAAATTTTTCTCTTGATATAAGAGAAAGTAACAGTTTTACTTATTGTTGTTCACCATATAATATTTAATTATTATTTTATTATATAATAAAAAAGAAATATTGTTAAATAGTGTAGTAGAATTGTTATAAAATTATATATTTTTTTTTTATAATATGGATTTAATATTTTTTTATGATTCGATAATATAAACAAATCTATACTTAACTTTGACAAATAAAACAAATAAATACTTTAGTAAGTATTTAATGTATATGCTAAATAGGAATATATTTGGTATAATCAAATACCAAATATAATCAAATTATACTTACCTTTTTAAAATAGAACAAATAAATAAATCAATTAAATAAATAAAATATTATAATACCAAAATAGTAATGACATTTAATGCAGTTGACTTTTCTGGATAGTAAATGTAGTAAATAGAATCTTTTTTTATATAGGTATAAATTGTATAATACGGAAATAGTTATGCAATAAATGTTGTTGAATTTTCTTTATACTAAATCTGGTAAATGGTATACCTTTTAATATAAGTATAGATATCCCCTACACTCATTTTTGCACGTTTTATTTTACTTCTTTTCCGCATCAAGTTTATCAATACAATTTTTAAAAGAAAACATAATTAATATTATGCATTTCTTCATAAAATATACTAGTATGAGTATTGTGCAGTGCATGGGTAAGAGATATTATTTAATATTTATAAATTAAAAATTCTTATTGAGTAATTTATAAATTAAAAATATAGAATTAATATGTAATACAATTACCTATACTAATTTATTGAAAATGTCATACAAAGTTTAAATTGTACAAAATTAAATGGAAGTGTCTATTTAAAATTAATACACAACCCGTGTGGTGCCCATAACTGATAATAAATTACATTATATTCGTTTCAAAATTATCATTTCAAAATTTTTATTTAGAAATTCGATTTGACTATAATGTGATTCCATAAAATAGGTATTTTGGTAAAATATTATCATATATTTAACAACCTATATGAATAATAAGTATAAGTATAAAATATATGTTGTTTCATTACTTAAAATAATTTATTTTGTTAAAACTATTCAAATAAAAAGATTAAGTAGGTGAGTCATTTATTAAACTATAGATAAATGACTATTTCGTTTACGTCCAGGTTAATATTAACCCGTAAGTTATTGAGTATTTTATTAAACTATAAATAATTGACTATCGCGTTTACGTCTAAGTTAATATTGACCCGTAAGTTATGAATAATTATTTTTTATTTTTTAATTTTAGATAAAAATATTTTTATTTTTTTCAATATATTACTAGTACGAATCCCGTGCGATGCACGGGTAGAGATATTCATTAATATTTATAAATTAAAATATTCATTAAATAATATTTATAAATAAAAAATATGAAATTAATATGTAATACAATTTACCTATATTAATTTATTGAAAATGTTATATGAAATTTAAATTGTGCAGAATTACATAAAACATGTATATTTCAAATTAATACACAATCCGTACGATGCAAGTAACCTATAATAAATTATATTAAACAAAATAAATTATTCTCTTTTGTATACATTACCACCGATTTTGTTTTCTCTTGTTAATTCAATATTCCAAAAATAACGCACAGACTATTCAATATTCGAACTGAAAAAAGGAATTTTTAGCTAAATGGAATGCTAAATTTTTTTAATTAAGGAATTAACTTAATTGTTTTATAAAATCATGACCGAAATCTGATTCCATAATAATTCAATATTTATAGAAATCAGAATCTTAATATATTCATATTCCTGCTAATTAGTTTTGCAAAGGAATTATCTTAAATTAAAACAGAAATTTGTTACCATATTAATTAAAAAGTCCCAAAAAAACATAACCATTAAATATGGAAATTGCAGCTAAGAAATTTGTTTCCATATTAATTAAAATTTTCCAAAATAAATAAGCGTTAAATATGGAAATTGCGGCTAATATATTTCCAGAATTAGTAATCAGGGATTTTTTTGGCGGGAAACAACTACTATTTTAAAAATAATCAAACATTTTTATATATATATAGATATACCAAATTTAAACCATGCAACTAATAAATGTAATAGCTGCAAGTTTTGTCAATATATTATATTCCAATTTTAAATCATGCAAGTAATAAAGGTAATAGCCGCAATATTTGACCAAAATGATTCTGTACATCAATTACATTAATTTAAACGAGATTTTTCAAATTTTGGCAAAAAATATTATTCAATATAGTAAACATTTTAGGCGGGAAACCAAATCTTTTTTTTTATGATTTTTAGTTTCTATTTCAAGTAAATATCATTGCCTCTTTATATATTAATAGATTTTTCTTCTACTCATATACAACTACCACACACTATTTTATCATGTATGCATCAAATTAACTATGATTATAACTAGTTGAGTTTATTAGTGAAAGACTCGTCTAAGAGTGTAATAATAATTCCTCAACCAAGTTTATGACGCCGGGGTCCTGAGTCTATCTAGGCATCACAATCTACTATGTCGGAGTTCTACATCTTGTGTACAACTATGACTTCTAGGCCAACTTAACACTTCTTTTTCTCCTGTGGCCTCCGAGCTACCTGCTCGGAGTTCTGCCACCTTAAAACGTCTGTCACTCAAGCTACCTACTCGGTCACCTGTCATTTCAAACTTTTGGCACTCGAACTAAATGCTCGGGCTTTTGCCGCTGTAAAACGTTTGCGCTCGAGCTACCTGCTCGAGGCATCACTAGGTCGTAACCACGACCTACTTATTTTCGACGTGAACCGTGAGGTCCTTTCAGATATCTGCGATCCTTAGATCTCCTGACCTCCGAGATACTTGAACTGGGCCAACCTGGCCACTAAAACTACTTAAGCACTCGAGCTACCCGCTTGAAGTTTCGTCTCCTTATTTGGCCCTCGAGTTGACTACTCGAGGTTCTGCCACTTTACTTGACCCATCGAGCACACCACTAGAGGTTCTGCCACTTCACTTGGCCCTCGAGCTAACCACTCGAGGTTCTGTCCCTTGTCCTTGGACCCCCGAGCTCATCGCTCGAGGTTCTGCCCCTTGACGACATATCAACCCCTTAGCGAGGTTCTGCTTATAAACTGTGGGCCTTCGAGCTCCCTCGCTCGGAGTTTTGTCCCTTAATAAAAACGAGAACTGAAGACTTGAATTTGTTGTAAACTTGTCAAAAATTAACTAAAGTTTTACTGATGACCGAGAGAAACTTGTCTGAACAACAAATAAAATAAACTAAATAAAAACGAGCTTGAGCGTAGTACCTCTTTTATTTGGTTTGCTTTGGGTCTCGGGCTGAATACCACGAGCTCTTGCCACTAGAATTATCTTAAAAACTGGATCTGCCCCGTAACGAGACAACTTCTGTAACGGAAGCCATGAAAACCTCATTTAACTTTTACTTGGTAATCTTGAAATCTTATGGCCTCCAAGCTATTTGCTCGAAGTTATGTCATGTGATACGTGATTCTCGAGCTAACCACTTGAGCTATCCATATTGGAATCTTTTGGCACTAGAATTGACCATTCAAGATCTTGTCTTTTAATTCTTGACACTTGAGCTAACCACTCAAGGTTATGCTTCTTTGTTCTTTGAGCTAACTACTCGAGGCCCTGTTGCCTTAACTTTTTTCTCTCGATCTAATCCACTCGAGATTCTGTNCCTCGAACTTATCCGCTTGAAATTCTGTCAACCTTACACTTGTGGCCCTCAAGCCGACCGCTCTAGGTTCGGCCAAACTTATGGCCCTCGAGCTCATCTGCTCAAGGATCTGCCAACTTATACTTATGGCCCTTAAGCTCGTCTGGTCGAGGTTCCACCAAACTTAAACTTATAGCCCTCGAGCTCGTCTGCTCGAGGTTTTACCAAACTTAAGACCTTCGAGCTAACCACACGAGGTTCTACTTCTTTTAACCTAGACCCTCGAGCTAACCACACGAGATTTTCTGCCTCTTTTGACCTAGACCCTCAAGCTAATCGCTCAAGATTCTGCCTCATTTAACTTAAGCCCTTGAGCTAACCCTCAAGGTTCTTTCTCCTTTGCCTTGGGCCCCGAGCTAATCGCTCGAGTTTCTGCCAAACTTAACTTATGGCCCTCGAGCTCTTTCGCTCGAGGTTTTGCCAGTTGTCCTTGGACCCTTGAGTTCGTCCGCTCAAGGTTATATCCCTTGACTTAACATTTTGTGTTCTTGGGCCATCGAGCTCGTCTGCTCGAGGTTATGCCCCTTGACATACACTTGGCCCTCGAGCTCGTTCGCCGGAGCTAACCAGCTCGAGGTTCTAGCCAACCTTGGACCCCTGAGCCAACTAACTCGGAGTTCTGCCCAACCATGGACCCCCAAGCCTTAACTGAACGGGAATTTCAGTTGTTTTAACTTGGCCAAAACGCTAAAATATCACTTTAGCTAAAATGCCAAAGAAAAAGGCTCTTAAATTTTTGTCCATGTATAGTAAGAACTCTCAAAGTTTTAAAGCACTAGTCAACTTAATTATGAATATATTTTTAAACAAAATATATATTTTTATTTTTTTTATAATTTTTTTATATTTAATATATTAATTGATTGTTTTTTTGACGATATTTGATTTGTCATTCTAATTGAATATATAAAAAAATATGCCTAATCTTATAAATTTAAATTAAGTAAAGTAGTAATGCAATTTTTATATAATCACACCAATCCGCTATTAGTGTAAATTATTGAGAAAAGGCACCAATTCCCTTATGTAATAACATTATAACAATATACACTAGTGTATATCTCGTGCGATGCACGAAAGAGCTCATATTTTAAACCTTTTTTAGGCTTTATTTTAAATATAGTTATTTATATTTTTCACATCTCGTCTATTATGAAATAAAATAAATACAAACAATGAAAAATATATATTATTAAACACTTCTCTTTATACAATATTTTTTTTTAAAAAAAATATTATTAAACCTTACAGTTTTGATTTTATTTTTTTTAAAAGTCAATCATCAATAATCATACCATTTTAATTTCAAAAAAATTGGCAAGTTTGTTAGAGAGATAAATCTGGTTAGGTAAATGATTAATTAGTTATATATTAATTGTATCTTTAAAAAATTGGTCAGATAATATAGATAAAAGAATATAATATCAATTAGTTTGTTAGGAATGTGATTATATGAAAATCAAAATAAAATAAAATTTACCCAAAAAATTTTGTTTAGGATTTTTTTCTTTAAATGTTTGAATTTAAATTTTTAATACCGAATGTCGAGTATATCACATAAAGAAAAAATAAATATGAAACATTTATTAATATATTAAAATATGTAATTTTGAATTTCATATAAAGTAAAAGTATAATAATTCAAATTTATTTTTGAAATAAAAGCTATGATAAACATTTATTTGTTATGTATAAAATTTTTATTTTTTATTATTTTAATGATTTATACATTAAAGTGAACTTAGGTACGTTATGATTTAACTCCATTTGAGATTGTATCTACCTAAGTAATAATATGTGGCCACTTATTATTTTATCGGTTAATGTTTGTGTTGATGAAGTATTATTGGATAAAAAAAGATCATTCATTTAAATCATTTGAGGTTGTATCTACCGCATTCCGTCCGCACAAACGTGTTATAGAAGGATTAACTCAAAAACCTAATTTGACAAACTAAATTACAAATTCATTTCCTTTTGTAACAGATAGATTATCTCCAACAAAAATTCATTTCCTTTTTTTACGGATAGATTATCTTCAGCAATTTATCTTCATTGTGGAGTCATGATTTGGAATAAATCCAAAACATATTATGGCGTCATAATTTTTTAAATATTTATCGTATTTAATTATCTATGCTACCAATAATAATAAATTAATTAAACTACACATTACATAATTAATAAGCAACATTCCATAAAAATTATGAGGCATATTAAATAAATAATGTCAATAAATATAAAAATAAATAGACAAATTTAACTGAAGAACTGTTTAATTCGATATCTGTTATGGACTCCACAAGTGCCCTGATTTCTCTAACAAAACGCGTTAAAAAAAAAAAAAAAAAAAACTAACTATTGACTTTTATAATTTCGGCCGAAAAAACTGAACTCGTCAGGACAAATATTTTCTCGCGTTTGTCCATTTCACCGGTGCTCAGAATCTCCAGTCGTCTTCTCCGGGAAGGAGTGCGACCAGCCTTGGCGTCTTGTGGCCATCATCGACCTTCAACCCATCCTTGGAACAGCAGCCCCGTCGCCGGTCATCATACTGGAAACATCAGCCCTGCCATCTCCGGCCAACACCCATCGTCTGTGTTTCACAACAGTCAGATAATCTCCGGTCGATCGTCATCCTCGCGAGATCTGGTCCGTCCCCAGCCCCACTCGATCTTTTTCTCTGCTCAATTAATAAACGACCTCGTATAGCCGCAGCCCGTCCCACGTGCGGCCATAAATGGCTCATGTTTCCACAGCCGCACGCAACCACCAAGACCGGCCAGACACGACTAAAAAAAAAAAAATTCGGCCATCGTGCATCCAACGCGACCAATAGCTTCTCGCCGGAAAGCCCTCGCGATGTTCGGTCATCTTCCTCGCGATGGCATGCCCCAGCGAAGCCCGAGAGTTCATCACCAGCCACGGACAAACACCCTCTCCATGATTAATGTGATATTTTTCGCCCAAGATTTCTATTTTTTTCACCTGCGTATGAGCAAGAAAAAAGAGAAGGATTCCGCCCAAGATTTTTATTTTTTTCACCTGCGTATGAAAAAGAAGAAAGAGAATAATTGGACTTATTCAAATTATATCTTACCTAATTATCCTCCACTAACTAAATCCCATTATATATTCTCTTAGAATATTTTACACATTGAATTTTTTAAAATTCAAATAATTGGCTAAGGCGGGACAACTCAAAAAATTTCAAAAAATCGTTCCTTTAATGCTAAAAAAAGGAAAAAATGAGTGAGAAAATGACATTAAAAAAGCGGGAAACTGAATTATTTTTTTCGAAGTTTTTCAAATCTTTTTTCTTAACTGTATTATATAGTAATAGATTTGACCACCCAAAAATCTGCCCGTTACTCATCTTTTTTAATGAACCCCTAAATGTGTGGAGCATAACTATGCTGTAAATTTTAGTTGCCAGTTACCAAAAATTGTTGAATTGTCTCTATAATTATTGGATTCAATAAAATAATTCTCCCCGCGCTTAACTCCATTTTGTTTTTTCCAGACCATCCACATGGTGCCATCTCATTGGCTGGTCAACCATTTTAAATTCTTAAACCGGCCCTACGCGAGTGGGACCCTGCCCAAAAGCAATATATTATTATTACATCACCCTGCCCTAATAAACTAACGAAAATAGTAATCTCTAGCTCTGAATTATTTAACAAACGAGTTCGAGCTATAGTTCATAAGATTTGAATTTGAAAAAAATATTTTTTTATAGTTCAACTGGTGAATATACGAATTCATATTGGACTACACTATCTCAATGATTGGTCAAATATGTTAAAAGGTGTGATTGGATGTGAATTTGAGTTGATTTTGATTTTTTTTTAACTATATTTATTTTTAAAAAAGAGATTGGGTTATGTTTGAAGGAGATTTTGAGTTTGTATTATAATAATATTTAAAGTAAAATGATTAAAATTGATTTGACGTAAAAATAGTAGAAAAGTGATTGAAAGTAATAAATAATTAAATTATGTAAGTAGAAGAATAGTGAAATAAAGTTTGAGTGATATTTGATGATGATTGATTAGTAATATTTAATTATATGATAATATTGAAAATAGTGTGATTTAATTATAGTTAAAATTTTATTATTTTTTTTATTGAGTTGATATTAAATCATACCCTCAAATTTCTTAATCGACCCTACATTAGTGGGACCCAACTCAAAACTTTAATATTATCATGACATTACATTGCTCGAATACAAGTGTTTAACGAAACGAATCGCTCGTGAGTTTAATTCAATTCATTTGATAAACGAGTGGTCATGGCTCATTAAGGTTCAAAATTAGAAAGTTATATATAATTTTCTATGACTCATTTTGACTCGTTAAATTTCGAACTCGACTCTGCGCTCGAGCTTGTTTTAACGAGTTGTATTTGACTCAGGTCTTAAAAGCTTGAGCGCACAACTAAAATATCAGGAGACTGAATTCAGCTCGACTCATTTAAACCTCTAAATAACAACAATTGAAAAAAAGCAAATAATTAAAAGCATTGGCTAAATAATTGTGTTAATTAAATTTTTTTCACCACTAGTATTCGACCTATGTATTTGCACATATATAAATATAGTATTGTGAGTTATTTATATGCATATAATAATTAATGATTTTTTTTGAACTTTTTTGCAGGCCAAATTAACAATTAAAAGAGTTGGAATATTTATTTTTTTAAATTGCGTTTATCATATTGGATGTAATGTATATTTTGGTATGTATTTTTTTTTTTTGTGAATTTTTTATTATTTATTTAAGAATTTCAAATACATTTTTCATTTTCCAAAAGAAGTTAATTTAAATGTAACCACAACAATAACATCTAACCACGTTAAATAGTCAACACATTATATGGTCAATTGTAAGTAGATCAAAAGTTTAAAATGATTTTTGTAATTTTGAAGTGATTAGTGTGTTGATTATCTAATAATTAAATAAGATATTAAATAAATAAAAAGTAACGGTTTTTGGAGGGAAAAAGTTATATTGCCACATAAGTATAATTTATTAGGTTTTATTAAATGCTCATGAGCTAGTAACTATATATATATAGATTTTATTCCCCAAAAAAAAGATCCACAAAAAGGCCGCAACTTCCTAAGGGGCCGATTGTTTATAGTTTCAACAGTAAAAAAACCAATCAAAACTTAAATTTAACTCAACTTTAACCCAACTCCAATATCTCTCATATTATCAATATAATTAAATAATATCAACCAATCATTCTTACACATCACATCAACTTTAATTCACTATTCATCCACTCACATAATTTTAACCGACAATCACTTCCAATCATTTTTCTCCTACTTTACATCAAATCAATTTTAATTATTTTATTTAAATAATATTTTAACATATCCACTAACAATTAACTATACTACATTTTTTCAAAATTAACTATAATTAAAAAATAAACCACGTCAAATCTAGTTTGAATTCATAAACAATCACCCCATTAAGAAACCCCAAATCCTTTCCCCAATCCCATTACTGGTTTTGCCTTTGGGTAAGTGAAATTTTTCGCTTAGTTTATTTTATATTTGTACCCCAAATCTTATCAGCTATCGAAATTCTTGCTAACTGCTGAACAAATTCTGGAGAGAGAAAGGCAGAGAAGGGGGGTATAAATAGATAATCGAACAACGTAAGGAAATTGAGAAAAAAAAGGGAAGGTGTGGTGATTCTATTTTTGCTCTTTCTGTTGGAGGAAAATACGATTTTTTTTCCCCATATTTTATCATTCAAATGGGGGAAGAAAACCCATTGAGCATATGAATAAAGGCTGTTTCTTGATTCAGGTACTTAATCACTTCTGCTTGTCATTTGCTAATGATTGAGCATTTTCTTGATTTTTTTTTACATCCATCTTNTGGTATCGTTCTTTTGTGCCCTCAATTTCAATCCAGTTGATAATGACACATGCAAACATTTTTTTTCTATTTAGTTTTATGTAAAGCTTATATTATATTTGTTTGAGCGTGTGTTTGTCTGTGTTTGAGCTGCTTTTGTGTTTTTTTGTCTAATATGTTGGGTATTTGTTGTATGGCTTGAGCCTTGAAGAATGTCTTTTTCGTTTTTTGTCCCTGTTGTGTCTGTGTTATATGTAGACTGTAAAGATCGAACCTTTAAGGATAATATAGTCTCTGTTTAGCTAGGACATGCTATATAAGTTTGTGGGTTTTACATAAGGTTCATTTTTAATTGAGTAATTGTTGGATTTGAGAACTCATTGCTATATGCACCACTTCATATCAATGATTGGTGAATCTTAAGGTAGGTTGGTTTACTTTGGCTTACCATAGTTGCTTTTTTGTTAATGATTTTGAAAACCAAATATTATTGAACTATTTCCTTTCTTGCTTAGTTCATTCCTCTCAATAAAAGAAATGGGTATTTTGCTTGAAGGGTAGAAAATTTACTTTTATGTTCAAGTTTAGCTTTTGAGACCCATGGAATTTGCCATTGTCTATGCTGTTTTAGTGGCTCTGCTAGTTGCAATAATGCCAGTCATCAGTCTTGGAGAAAAAGTATGAATTGAGGGTTGCTTTCTTTTAGGTTTCTTTATTCTCTCTGTCTGATAAGTTGCTTTCAAGTAGAAAGTTTGCACATCGACTTGAATAAATATCTACTAGTTCTAGTTGCTGCCAAGAGATAATTACAAAAAAACACTACTAAGGTTTTAGCATGATGACAAAAGAACTTTTAAGGTTGTGTTTGGTAAAATTAGCTAATAAGCTAGCTGAAATAGAAATTTCAACAAGCTTATTTGAAAAGCTACCTAAAGAAACTTAGGAGATAAGCTCGAGCTTTTTAGAAAAACTAGTCCTTCTACAGGAAGATATAAGCTAACCAAATAAGCTGTAAACTAGCTTACTTGGTTACCAAACATAGCCTAAGTAATGAGGTTTTATGTGATTTGGAAAACCATGAAACGAAAACCATGTGAAGTTTCATTCGTTTAACTTCTTTCTGTTTTTTGCTCTCAGATTTCTTGCTTCTACAATCTGTCCCCTTGTATCGAGAAAGCTTTTATAAAAGAAAAAAGAAAAAAGAAAGGATTTCTCATGGGCGGTGAGGATTTTGATGATCATGTTTCCATCATGGGAGATTGGATGCCTCCAAATCCAAGCCCAAGGTCCCTTTTTTCATCAGTCAATGAAACTAAAACCGAGCCTTATCAGAACAACAGCTCAAATTCTCTCACGGAGTCTAAAATAAGCTCACGTGGTGGAGGCCTCATGGAGAGAAGGGCAGCTCGAGCTGGCTTTAATGCTCCAAGGCTAAATACAGAAAGTATTAGGCTTGGTGATCTTTGCAAGGAAGAAGTTCGGTCTCCTTATTTGACGATACCACCTGGTCTTAGTCCAACTACTCTGCTCGATTCCCCTGTTTTCCTTACTAATTCACTGGTGAGTATTTTTGTTAACTGATAATTTATTTAAGTTTGAGCTATGCTAGTTAAAATTGTTATGAAAGGTGTATTGTACTTTGTGATGATATAGTGGATCAACTATTGTACTTTTCTTTTTCTCGTTTTGGTTGATTTGTCCTCAGTTTGATCTTGTGGTTATAATAAGAGTGGGTTTTGCACAAAAAATAAAAGAAAAAAAAATCCACAGGATATTAAACGTGAACTAACCGTTCTTGATTTTCGAGAATAAGTTTATATTACTACTGCAAATTCACAGTGCAGGTTCAGCCATCTCCCACAACTGGAAAATTTGCATTTGCTTCGGGTTGTAACAATCCGAACTCATCATTGATGATGATGGCAGCTGAATCTATGACAGAATCGAAATCGGTTCCTAATTTACATGCGATAAACAGAGTAAAGTTCATTCCTTTCTTCATCTCTTCAAATCTTGATTCTTTTGGACTTTCTCATACATTCTGACTAGAAGAAACCCTTTTAATGTTAATCAAAAAAAAAAAAAAAAAAACTACTCTTTAGTCCAAATTACAAATAGGAGAAAAAACTCGAACTACCTTTCGGAAATAGAAAATTACCTTTTTACCCTCGATCGAGCAGGCACACACCTCGGGTTCTTATCCTGATTTTGGAATCACCACTCATCCAAACACCTCGTTATTCCCCCATCAAACCGAAAGCCCACACCACGCGAACAAAAACACGAGCCCGTCTCCCGAGAACACTTCCTCGCTCGTCGAGGAGCGGACGCACGGTGACGAGGCGGACGGCTACAACTGGAGGAAATACGGTCAAAAGCAGGTCAAAGGGAGCGAATATCCTCGGAGTTACTACAAGTGCACCCACCCGAGCTGCCCCGTTAAGAAAAAAGTCGAGCGTTCGCATGAAGGCCACATCACAGAGATTATCTACAAAGGGGCCCACATCCACCCCAAGCCTACTCCTCCCGGCCGCCGCACGCCGAACGAGGGTGGTGGTGGAGGAGACCTCGTCGTGTGGCCGGTCGGGCGGAACAATAATCCCGAGGCACCGTCTTCCCCGTCTCACGAATATGTGGATCGGGAAAAGCCGGGAGCAGATGGGAGTTTGGAGGGGTCGTTTACTTTCTCGAACGAGGAGGATAACGACGATGACCGTGCGACGAACGGGAGCGTGTCGGTGGGTTGTGATGGGGAAGGAGATGAATCAGAACTAAAGAGAAGGTCTTGTGTTTTTTTTTTTGTTTGGCAAAATTGCATTGTTAGTCCTGCTGGTTTAACGCATAGCAATTTTTAGTTCCAGTGTTCCAACATTTCACTTTTTAGTCCTGTGAATATTTTGCAGGTCCAAATGACGATAAGTTGGAATCTTGAGACTAAAATTGCTGTGACAATAAACCAACAAGACTAAAAATGCATTATTGCCTTTTTTTTTATTCTTTTTTTTTTTGTCGTAACTTAATCATCCTTTGTGTGTGTATCTGTTTTAGGAGGATCGAGGCTTATGCTTCGGAGGTGAGTGGGGCCACGAGAGCTATGAGGGAGCCGAGAGTCGTGGTCCAGACGACGAGCGAGGTGGATATACTCGATGACGGGTATCGTTGGCGGAAGTATGGGCAGAAGGTTGTGAAAGGGAATCCAAATCCTAGGTAAAAATAATAGAGTAAATTGCAATTTTAGTAATTTTAGTCATCTAAATGTTTCATTGCTTTAACTTTCTCGTCCCCTTTGATTTGCTTTTTTGATTTTCGTCCCTTATGTTTGCTAAAAAAGTTAAAAAAATGGTCCCCTCCTTCAATTTGCTTTTTTGATTTTCGTCCCTTATGTTTGCAAAAAATGTTACAAAAATGGTCCCCAAACATAAATAAATAAGGAACGAAATCGCAAACTTTTTTTGCAAAACATAAGGGGCCTTGCAACAAAAAGGACGTTTGTAACATTTTTTTTGCAAACAGAAGCGACGAAATCAAAAAAACAATTCGAGGAGGATGGAAAAGTTAGGGTAGTGAAAAATACAGGACTAAAATTACAAGTTCCTCAAATAATCTCATTACTTCATTTTTGTGCCATGAGACTACTAGATTGAAGAGTTTGCAGCTTATTAGAAAACCTTGTTTAAGTTTGTATGATCTCTCTCTTTGTTTTTAACATGATGTTTTTGGAAGTCTATAAGATATAGTAGAATTATAATACAAGACTAAGTTGAATTAAGTTAAAAAAAAAAAAACATACACACACACACAATGATGTTTTGAGTCATCCGACGGTACAGGAGTTACTACAAGTGCACAAGTCCCGGGTGCAATGTCCGAAAACACGTCGAGCGGGCTTCACACGACCTTAAATCGGTTATAACCACATACGAGGGCAAACATAACCACGATGTCCCCGCGGCCCGCAACAGCAACTCCGGGCCCACAAACCAACAACACACTCCAAGCGGCCACATACAACGGGCCGAGCCTCCTCAACTGAATGCTACCATGGCCCAATACGAAAGGCCTTCACTCTTCCCGTTTGGCATTCCTGGCAGGCCTCAACAGATGGGCCAAGGGCTGGGATTTGGGTTTGGGTTGGGCCAGCAGAGGCTAGCAGCCGGGCTTGGGCCGGCTGGGAAGCTGCCCGTAATGCAAGTTCATCATCCTTATTTTGGGTATAGGGCTCGACCTTTGAGTGATATGGGTTTTGCTGTGCCGAAAACCGAACCTAAGGTGGAGCCTGTGACGGATGTTGGTTCGGACGGCTCATTGGTCTATCAGCAGATCATGAGTCGGCTACCGCTCGGGCCACAGATGTAAATTTTTCATTTTTATTTTATTCTATTTATTTATTTATTTATTTTTGGGATTTATTGTCCTTGTTTGCTTAAGAAGAAGCATGACATGCATTCAGAATTTATCTGGAATTTGAGATATTTGCAGAAAGTTGTTAATCTTTTGAAAAAACAAAGATAGTGTCTTTTTGAGCTCGACGGATCACATTTGATTTTAAGTTATCCATCCACGGGTTATTTAGAATATAAGGCGCAATCTCGTTTATTCTATGTCTTGTATTATCACAAACAAATTTATTTGTAGTTCTTGAACTCACTCTAGAATTATCACGAAAAGATGCCATTTGTTGTTTCTCTAGTACGAACAAGATTGGCAATGAGAAGTTGTAAGGAAATCAAGTCATATACTTATAAAAATGTCTTATTTGCCTTCATAATTTTGTATTTGCTCTGGAGAATTGGCAATATAGCATATGTCACGTATATAACTCCATCAAAAAATGTATTGTTTTACCTCTTCCTTCTCCAAAAAGATTTTGAGTATATTTCACGTATATAACTCGATAAAAAAATGTATTGTTTTACCTCTTCCTTCTCCAAAAAGATTTTGATCTCAGTGTTGGAGATGGTGTTCTTGAACGATCACCTTCAAGCTTTTCGAATTCAATTTTCAAATGCCTATTTTTCAAGGATCTATAATCATTGTGCAGGTGATTGGAGATTTTTATGTATGATAGATATTTTCTTTTTTTAATTATCTTTCATTCCTGTCAGTTGTGTATATTAGGTGTTTTATAAGGAATGTTTTTTTAATTGATGTGTTTATACTTTTCTTGTATATCACTAATTATTTAGAGTATCTTCCATATATACGCAAATAAATTGTCAAGTTAGTATGTGCAATTATTTAGGAAGAGTCGTGATATATGTGTAAAAAGGCCTATATATTTACATTTTTTTTCGAAACAATAGATTATCTCCCTTAAAAGGGAGACTATAAGATAGAGCCTGGAGGCTAAACAGCCAGTCAAAAACATTATACAGTGAAATCTGAAAGGAACACTAACAATAGTGTCCTAATCTAAAAAACCAAAGAAGAGGAACCCAAATTTCCGACATCAAAATGAGTGCTGAAACCGAATGCTCAACGCCTACAAAAAACTGAAACATCCCAAAAGGGAAACTTCCTACTCCAACAAGTGAAGAATAACACACTAACTAACTAAACACACACATTGATAGGTATACTAACACCGACCTGACTCGGTCAAGCAAAGGACCCATAGAACCGGGACTTTTGAGCTACAGATCGACCGAGCGTAGGAGGGTCGAACCACGTGGGGGGCTTCGACCCAACACCCCCAGATCGACCAAGCATGAGAAGGTCGAACAGTGTTGGGGTTTCGACCCATCACCCTAGCGGTCTAGGCATTCGGGCACAACAAGGTAGGTTGACTCGTACAACCCGCAGCATCGACTTAAAGTATGCTCGGTCAACGGGAGATTACGCATCCACCGCCTTACAAACGAATACTATATAAGTGGTAACAGAAAATCGCTAAGACGTCATTTAATACAAATACTGTTACATTCATTACACATTATAATTTTTCTATTCCAAATATTGACTTGGGCATCGGAGGGTCTTGCGCCGGAGCAACTCCTGCGTATTTGCAGGTACCGGCGAGCATTCAAGCTTGGATCGGACCGAGTTAGACGTGTTCACACCATAACCGGGAAGAACCTTTCGAAAGACCGGAGTCATTTATCTTGGACCATATCACACATAATATAACTATAAACTACTACCTCCCCTACTAACAAGAGCAACCCGCAACAGAAACCCAGCCAACACACATGCCAAAATCCACACACAATAAACCCACGATCAGGACCTAAAGTGCTATAGAAACAGACCTCAGAACTAAAAACTCCACGAAAAACGGCTAGACAGAATCGGTGAGAAGGCTAAGCCTTAGTCCAGATCTGAGCACCCGAAGTCGCCAAACGGGGGAAAAAGAAAGCCCGAAGGGATCGACTCTAAAAGCATCGTCTGGGGAAGAAAGGAGGGAAAAGAGGGCGAGGAGGCGGCAAATTTAAGGTAGAAGGAATAGAAGAAAGGGGCTTTTGAGACACAGTGTTATATATTTACCCCCAACCAGCTTTTCAAATCCTTTATAATAAGATAAAGGGAAAATTTTAAACTAACCATAAGATATTAAAAATATTACAGAGATTTTATTTGCATGAATACTTAAACAAATGCATTTATTATGGATGAATAAAAAACATCAGTTACCAAAGTAACAACTTCCCTACAATCACGCCATTAGATTATTGAACTGAAAAAAAAAAAAGGAAAGTCTATATTTCCTACTATTTAGGAAGACGTTCATATAAAATGGAAAGGAATTTGAAATCTACAGAACATACGCAATCACAAAAATCATTCATCTTGCTGCTATAAAAGTCATCGAAAAAATATACATAATATATACAGAAAATATATAAGTCCAAAAAATATACGAAATAAACCTGGTAATTTTATTTTTTCGTAATCCTTTTTTGTTTACTTTTTGTGTTATTTAGATCTCGTGTTTTTTTCTGTGTATTTATAGTACATTTTCTGGTTTAATACATGCACAGTACACGATCAGACTTATATACATAAGATATGCTCATTATATACAGACGACATACATGCAAAAAAACAAGATAAATCAATCTTGTCATTATATACAGAAGATATACATAAAACACATTAGACTGTCCGAGAATATATACATAAAAGATTTTCCTCTTCTTCACGGTCTCGGGCGTTTTGACCTCTCTCAGCCTCTACGTCTTCTTCTTCCTCTTCGCCTTCTCCACGGCCGATTTTCAGATCGCCTTCTTCACGACCGATTTTTGGATCGAGCCAGTTTGGTCCATCCTGGTGATTGTTTTGCTTATCATCAAGTCGTTGGTCGCTGTTGTAATGATTTTAACCGGAGTAGAATCGAAAGATTCGTCCCCGGGTCGTATCGCAAGGAAGGTTAGCCGGAAATTCTTGTGCGTATATTCAGTCACGAAAAATAGAAGAGAAAATTCCTAAACACTCTATTTCAATATTTGGGTTTCGATTATCAACTACCAACTTAAAATTAAATAAAGCACGAAATGAACAGTAACGAATTAACTGAGAATTTGAAGAGCTAGGGAATCGGGGATAATTGTTTTTGGTTCTAACACAATCACCGGCATTCAATTGCTCGGTTAAAGGAAGTGAATCGTCTTTCGTTTAGAGGTTCACTCTCAATAACTCTTCGTAACAAGAGAGTGAACGTTAACGATTAACTATCAATTCCAACAACTCATAGATTATACGCTTCCGAACAAATCTATTCTAAACGAGCCTAATTCTACCAACGTCTCCCCTCTCGGTTCTACACGTTGATTATCTAGGCTAGAAAGGTGATCAATCTCCTAACCCTATGGTTCACACAACTCGAATAGACATGAACAATCAAAAGCACTCAATTATA